CAAAATGTTGTTACAAACGGTCTTACTTGGGAACTACTCCAAGTTGTTTGAAACTAGCCTTGGTCATACCTATCTACAAACGGAATGACCCAAATGACTACGCCAATGACAGAGGCATTAGCTTGCTTTCAAGTATATCTAAGGTGTTTGAACTCAACACGAAAGACACTGGCACGTCAGTGAGTAAGTGGACTGTTCGTCGGGCATTACACAATGTGAATATGCGAGCTGTAGAGAAGAAGAAGCCTCTCCTTAAAAAAAACATTAACGCTAGAAAAGAATTCGTAAAACATTATATTAATCTGGACTGAAAGTGAGGGATGATACTAAAATTAAGAGATACAGCACATATGGGCGAAAATGGACTTTAAAAAAAGGTAAACAGTGAAACATGGTGGTGGTAATATCAAACTTTGGGGCTGCAAAACAGCTTATGGTGTTAGAACCATATACAAAATCGATTTGAATATGGATGGAAAAATGTATCTCAACATTCTTAAGACTTATTGATGGCAGCTGTTGAAAATATGCCATATCCTGTGAATAAAGTATTATTTCAACAGGACGACCCCAAGCATACATCAAAAATAGTAAAAAAAAATTGCTGATTAAGCAAGACTTTCAAGTTTTTACATCATAGATGAGTTTTTAAATAATCATTTTATCGACTTTGATCCATAATTGTAGACTATTTGTTTTATTAGGGTGAAATGGGGTAAATGTAATCATGGGGCAAGTGTAATCAGGCCCTATGAATTTTTTTTATAACGTTTTGAAGCATATTTTCTCCGAAATTCGAAAATATGACCCTTTTTATACCCATATTACTTTTTATTAACCTCTTAGTTCCAGTTTCAAAGATTTAACTTTTGTTTACTTTGACATTTATAATAATTTTGTGAGTGCCTTTTAGGAATTTCAATTCCCTATTACTACAGCAAATATTAGTAGTTAGTTGTAAAATTTTGGTCCATTAGATAATTTTCGACAAGGATTCTGCTATCAGATTTGACTTTAGATACTTAGCAAAAAATTCATGCCAGCGATTACATTTACCCCACCGAAATGCGCATATGGGGTAAGTGTAATCACTGAGACTGGGGTAAATGTACTCACTGGTTACATTTGCCCCAGCCTCCTCCTTTTTGAGTTTTTAGGCTATAACCTATCACTTTCTCTATTGTTATAGGCTTATAAAACCATGATATAGCATAGGTTCTAACCTATCACTTTCTCTATTGTTACAGGCTAAGAAGACCATGATATAGAAGAAATAGTGTAAATACTTACCACTTAATTAATTATAAAAACAGTGTGGACATCTTTAAAATAGGACCTATCTAAGACTAAAGTTTATAAAGTTCCTAGTGAGTTCCTTCAAAATGGTGAGAGTGTATAAGAAAAAGAAACAAGACCCTTCTTACGGTGCTGAACTTTTAAAAGATGCGATCAGAAACATCCATGAAAGTGGTATCAGTATTCCTGGTGCTGCCCAGAGGTATCAAATCCCATTTTACCACTCTTCAAAAATACCTACGAGGAACCCGAGGATCAAAAAGCACGCCCAAAGGAAGACCCACCGCAATACCTGCAGCTGACGAAGAAAAATTAGTGTATGCCATAAAAACCATGGAGAAGTGGAGTTGGGGGCTCAGCAGAAAGGAAATCTTAAAATTGGTGGGAAAGTATGTTACGAAAAATAATATAAAAAAGCCATTTAAAGATGGAATCCCTGGCGAGGATTGGTTCCTATCCTTTAAAAAAAGGCTCAGGCTGTCTTTAAAAAAGCCACAAGGACTGGAGTATGCCAAAAAACAAGCCAATAATCCATTTGTGATTGAACAATACTTTGACATGTTAAAAGCAACCTTAGAAAATAATGACCTGCAAAATAAGCCTTCTCAGATTTATAACCTCGACGAAACTAGTATTACGCTCGATCCAAGTAGAACTTAAATTGTGGGTCAGAAAAATGCCCCTGCTTCAAGAATAACCACCGGGCCTGGAAGAGAGAGTACGAGAGTTCTCATGGGTGGTAACGCAAATGGGGATAAACTGCCTCCATTAATTGTTTTTAAAGGAAGAAATATATGGGATACCTGGATGGCTCCTAATGAATCCACCTTTCCAGGCACTTCTTATGCTGCGTCGCCAAATGGTTGGATGGAAACCGAAATCTTTGTAAACTATTTTACAAAAACTTTTATTCGCAACGTTGTACCTGAAAGACTAATCCTGCTTTTGTATGATGGACATTCAACGCACTTAGACCTAAAACGTATCGAGACGGCTGTCGAAAATGATATAATTGTACTTAAGTTACCTCCACCAATAGCTGCGCCAAGTAGCAGTTCGGTATCATTTGAAGAAATGTTGCTGGAAACAGTGAGACAGTCTCCCCGCCCTAACGAAAAAGAAAGAAGAAAAAGGGTAGCTCCGGGAGCTGAAATTATAACAGCAAAAGAAAACATAGAAAAAAAGAAAAAGGCTGAGCAAGAAAAAGAAAATGAAAAAATAGCGAAAGATAAAGCAAAGAAAGCGAAAGAATTAGCAAGGAAAACAAACAAGAATTAAAACAAAAATAACAGCAAAAAATATTACTGAGAGCTCTTCAGATGAAGACGAACCGCAGTGACAGTGAATCCGACGACGTCACCTTTGAGGCTTATGCAAAAAGGTTAGAGGAAGATGAAGAAGCATTAAAACAAGACGTCATCGCATATATCGAAATACAGCATATACTTATTGTAACGTAAAGGAAATAAAGCAATATTCTGCACATTTAAAGGAAAGAAAAGTATGCTTTTCTATGCTGGTCAAATAACAACGCTTGATGAAGAAGGGCAAGCTACCATTAACTTTTTGAAAAAATCAAACCGAGACGCGCATAGTTCAGTGTTTCACTGGCCTGGACTAGAGAACCATCACTTAGTGGCTGCATCAGATATAGAGCGAGTTTTACCAGAACCCACTTTAGGGCGAAGAGGAGAACTAACTTTTCCAGTATCCTTTACCTCATATAACATTAAATAAATTGAAAAAAAAACATTTCAGTCTCTTTTGGTCAACTTACCTACGTAATATACTTTTCAGAAAATCTTTGAGTTTTATTCCCTATCATTGCTCCACGAAAAGAGTTCATAATTTCCTTATAAATTAAGATATCAAGCTATTTTTTTTTAAAAAGCCAGAATTTTTCGTACTATAGTACACTTGCCCAGATCTCTGGGGCAAGTATAATCAGCCGACATGTTTTTTTATTTTCTTTTATAAAAAAAACAAAAGCAGGCAGCGGTAGAAGAGAGCTAGATTGCCGAGGGCCCGCCGGTGCAAAAGGGTCCCGAGACTGTTTGTTAGTGAAGAGTCATCGATCAGTCGTACAGCTCTTCTCTGGACAGCGTCGAGCATAACGTAATCTATTCGGGGCGGCAGCACCCCAAACATGTGAGCAATCTCGAGGCTAGATCTTATCTAGGCCTAGAGAGCACAGAGTAAGGAGTCATGCGGAAAAAAGTACTTCTTAGACCTAAACAAATAGCCTAGCTTTTTCCCAGCAGCTATTGACGAGATATGTTCGTGCCAGATCAAGTCCTTGGTGGTCTGGACTTCGACCAGCCGAAATGAACTGCTCTTTGTTAGAACTCGGCCATCCATCTGAGCCGTGGTGTTCGAGGTAGTTCAGAAGCTCGATATTTAAGCACCTTACTTATAACAGAAAACAGAGCTCTAGGCCTGTAATTATAAGGGTCAGTCTGGGATACTTTTTTTGGGATGGGTTGGACGTGAGTAAATTTCCAGTTTTCTGGGAAGGTGCCGGATTCGTAAGATATCTGGAAGAGACGCGAAAGGATTGGAGCAAGCTCTGCTGCACACCTCTTCAATACAACGGCAGGAATCAAGTCCATACCAGAAGCTTTGTTGAAGCTCTTTATGAGTACCTTATCTAGAATAAAAAATCACTATCTTTCAAATGGTGGACTCGCATGATGTCGAAGCTGATCGTTTTTGTATATTGTTTTATTGATACAAGAAACTATTCTGTAGGAGCGTTGGTCTTCTATGACTTACGTAAAAAAAAAACTCCACTGGTTCGTCTCTCCATCTTCTTGCATACTTTAGGTTGGCTGATGATCTAACCCTGAACAACTCTTGGGACGTACAGGAGACCCAATGCAAGGGGTTCATCTCGAGCCGTGGTTTTCACCAAAAAATGAATCAATTTTTCTAAACTAGCCATCACCTCTACTGTCGACTTCAGTCGACTATATCACTTTTCCCCTCAGAGTGGCCATTTAAAATCATGCAAAAAACATGCAGAACAGTTCTTTATATACACGGCGTTTCCAAAATGTATTTATTACAATTGTTTGATTCAGATTTAATTAACTGTTCTGGGGTTTTGTACTAAAACAGCCTTATTATTTTGAGAAGAGAGCTAGATTGCCGACGGCCCGCCGGTGCTGAAGGGTCCCAAGACTGTTTGTTAGAGAAGAGTCATCCATTACTCGGACAGCATCGAGCATGTATGCACTGCTCCATCACATTACTTATAACAGAAAGCAGAGTTATAGGCCTGTAGTTGTAAGGGTCTTAGATCCTTTTTTGGGATGGGTTGATCTTAGCAAATTTCCAGTTTTCTGGAAAGGTGCCCGATTCTTAAGATATTTGGAAGAGGCGCGAAAGAACTGGAGCAAGCGCCGTTGCACACCTCTTCAATACAACGGCAGGAATCTGGTACGGACCAGAAGCTTTCCATTCTAGCACGTAAGTGGTGGAAGGCGACTCAGTAGGAAATTCCTTTCAATCTGTTTGGCCAAGGACCAGAAAGGCCGATTACTATTGCGCTGCGACATTACCCCGTTTTCGGCAACACTTCTGGACGCGTGCTGAGTCCAGCGATTGACACAAAATATTCGTCTCCCCTTTTTGGAAGTCGATCGGCTGTGATCTGTGATAAACACGTTTTTATAATACCTATAGAGTGGCTAAATAAAAAACAATAAACAATATAAAAGTTTATTTATTTATATTTAACTACATAGGCAAAGTATGAATAAGAATACTTCATCTCCCATTAGAAAAATATCTGTATATTCATGATAAAAACAAGTTGAGGTAGATTCACTTCCAACCTACATTGTTTTCTAAAACATTGTCATTTTCGAGTTCCATATAACTTTTGTAGCGACAATTTTTAATTGTGCGTATCAAAAATTTCTAATAAATTGATAATGTCATGAATAAAAAGGTAGTTTTGAGAGAAGCGAAACTCCAATGTCTTGGTGTCCCAGTAACGCCAGATGTACTTTTTTAACAATTTTTAACAAGTTTTTTTTCACACAGTCCTTATTCGGGATGCCACAAATGATGTGGTATGCTTCACAAAACTATTTGAAAAAATATTTCCTAATATTCACCTAACACCTGCATTCACCATGATGTTTTAGAACTGTATGATTATTTTTTTATTATTAAACGTATTTATAAATTATTTTCAACAAATTATTTAAAAAAAACATATACGTAAAAAGGTCAATTTCATATTAGGATGTCCGGTTGAGTTGGCACTCCACCGATTCGATTCTCAAAATTTTAGTCACTCATCAATGCCTACTGTTGTATGTTGGACAAATTACGTAAAAGGATCGAATAAAGGCAATTTATTATTATTATTATTATATAATACACCATCCCAACACGCCCATGACTTGGTCAAGTTCTATTAGACACTTCAACAAGTTTGTGTCTTGGGAAGAGCCAGTCCAAAAATTGCTTGCAAAGTTCGAAACCAACAAAACAGGCAGCGTTTGCTGGAAAAGCCCGAATCAATACTGGAGTAATTCCTTTATAGAGAGCTGAGGCGCCTTCATTCTTCATCAGCTGGGTGAATACGTCCCTGATACCGTTCTTGTAAGTTCCTTCGGGAGCTGAAACAGACAAATCCAATTTTGATCATAAATATTATATCCGAGGACCCCGCAATACTCGGCAACTACGCATTATTTTGAAAAAGGCATCAACAAGAGTTTCAGGGTAAAAAGTAATTTGTCAATGACCTCAAATTTGACCTAGATCCTAGATAGTGACCTGCTTAGAGGACATTTGTAGGTTCAGTTTGAAAGTTCAAATAGCAACCACCATTTTTGAGTAGAATCGTGAGAACTAGAAATTCTACATCAGACTGCATTTTATTTATTTACTTACTGTTTTTCATTACATAAAAAACATTATTTATCTGACTGAACACAATATCTGTAGATAAATTATTAAACTAAACAAGAACTATAGATTCATGTGATACCCAGCCTAATTATATTTAAAACCTAACAAACTAAAGTTGAAATGAATCGTTTTTCATGCACTTTATCATGTGCTTAGTATTGTTACTGAAAATATCTATATATACTAAGTGACATATAAATCCGAACACCCAGTTTAAATGGGTTTATTTTAATAAAATTTTGTATAAGTACTTAATGAAGCATAATAAGTAAATGATAAAAATTTCAAAATGATTGCACTGCTTTAAAGCCCTTTGACCTTTAATAATGTGTGGATGCACCCTGATGTACTACGCATTCTCCAACGCGCCTAGGCATGCTACGTAACGCCCTCGGTTTTTAAACCCTTGATATTGATTACAGGTTGATATGCTCGCCCAATCGTGATCCATTTTGATTTAGATGGATTTAGATGATAGCGTTGCTCCTGGATGACAATTAACGGTGGCTGAGCTACACCACTTTGTACAGATCGTACCCCCTTGTCGTTCTGCACATTTGCAACGTGTTTGACACCACCGGCACTACTCATGTTGTAACACTATGTGAAATGTAGAAGACTGGTATGTGATGCTGAGTAGCTACTTTTATACAGTGTCGATACTCCCTTCACACTCACAAACACTCCCCTCCCAAAAATTGGCGCAGGTGCAATGGAAAATGATACTACCATTCATGAAGATATATTTATTTATACAACACAGAAAGAATTACTGCGTTTTGGATAAATCGCATAAGACACTCAAACATGCAACATAATCTTCAAATTTGGTGAATGGCCATTTCACACCACATGGTCCAGAACTCCATCCTAGTGACTTATCTCCAATGTTACCTTTGGCTACGTTTTTCTTTAACCATTTAAATACAGTATAATGTCTTATCTTCTTTTCTATATCAAATACAAATTTAATATCATGGTCCTGTATCGCATCGATTAGACTCTTCAGTGATGCACAATCAGCCAGATATGCAATTTCATCGATATGGGATACAGTGTCTTTAAATCTCTTAGTAATATTTTCTACAGGATGTGGTTTATCTACATCTTCATAGTTACTGTTAGATAACAACTTACACAAATATTGTTCATATGCTGATGGTGTGCAGTGCATGTTCGCCAGCAGGTCTCCAAATTATTTGATGCTTAAAACCTCACAACCTTTAGACTTTGCAGCGTTTCCTGTACCACCCAGTCAAGATGTTTCTTTCTTGTTATTACACTGGAAAGCACATCGGGATGGCAACTATCTGCATTTGCAATCCAATTGAATACATCGTCGGGTACTGTAATTTCCTCCAGTACAAAACTCAGCACTGGAAATTCTCGTTTTTCTGGATTTTGAGACACAAACTTTCGGAGCTGTTTTTTCAACACCTCTTCAGTTACATGACATAATTGCATGAACAGTAAATAGTATGTCTTGGTACACATCTTTAAAACTGAAGAAGGTGAGTGGGTAAAGCATATATTTATATTCTTGTCCCCACCACAAAGCTCTACTTTCTGATCATTTCATCTGATCACTAGTCAAGTCACTGGCTTCGTTCATTAAGCGCAGCAAGAGGTCCAACCGCTCTTCGTCCAACGTGTTATGAAAGGTGATATCTTGATGACCCCAAGCTAATGTGTTTGTTGAGTTTGGTATCAAGAAACGTTTATCATCCATACTGATCAATGCCACTTTTCTTATATAATTTGTGTATAAATTGTGCGACTCCGATTTAAATACATAAATCGTACAGTACACAAATGTCCGTTTCTCCTCAACAATATCCTTATAATGTAACAAATGTAATTGATGTTTCACACTCGCCTTAGATATACCTTTGGCTCGTTTAGCCACTTGATCTACAGCATCGATACAGTATGCTTTAGGACCTGTACCATAAAAGGCAGACAGTACCTTGCCACCATATTCGTCTTTCATCTTACCCAACTCTGACGCTGTTCGAGGCATGTTATGTGGGTTGTCAGCATCATAATTGGATGTGTCACAGTAATGCATGTGTATGTATGTCTTCATAGAAATTATCGGCTTCAACATGTACTATTAACGAATCAGTGTCCGTGTATGCTAACGACACCTTATCACTATATTGGTGCTTCAGAAAGTTATAGAAAAAGTCATATATTACCGTTTTTGAGACATCTAAAATACAAAATCCAACATATGTGGGACGGCAATAATCAATCATTGTTTTTTCCATTTGAATAGCTAAGTTTTCAGAAAATATTCTGTGTTGGTTTACTAATATAATTTTCAGCACCTATTTTGTGTTTCGATTTTTCAAATTAGTTATTTAATATGGCTTAGTTGTTTGTAACCTTACCTTCTACACGTTGTTGTTGTTTTTTGTCCCATTTCTACATATCAAGTTCGTCATTTACTGCACACCGTTCCGTTTTTAGTCGTTCTAGTTGCGCGCCAAATCTTCGATCCACGTGTCGCGATTGAGTTGCTCATTCACAACACTATCGTTTGCGGGTGCCCGTTCAGCGAAGGGTCAACGGTTTCGCGTGGTGGTACAACTTGAACATTTTGCAATACCCGTACACGGGGCCTTAACAGTTTGTCCAGAATCAGGCGCTGACTGTTCGTAAATGCGCAGTACGGGCACTTCTTCTCCAAGGTACACAGACACGGTCTTGAACACATGTCTGCAATTGAACAAGGAACACAATGTTAAAGACTGATGCTTTCAACCTGAAGTGTTTGGACTGCAGTGACAGTTACGACTATGAGCACTTATATACAAGCATTTCGACTCCTACCTCACTTTCACGGATTCTTCCGTTCGACTTTCGCGATTTCTAGCATGAATTAACGGTTCATAAAAGTTTCCTGATCGCGTTTAAGTTTTACATTTATTATCCATTGCTAATTTCGTGACCACGACTTTCATCCTTAAGAATATTACTACCCACCCATACTTTCTTTGTCCGTTATAGCATAATGACCTCGAATTCTCCCGATCTTGTGACGGAGAAGGAGAGCATCCTTATATACTCACTATAGTCGCCTTTCCATTCCGTCGCTCCCCAGTCATCGTCATGGATGGTCAGGATCCAAATGATCTGTACATCTTCCATGAAGATGGCTTGGCTAGTCCACTCCTCTTCGTCAACACAGCCTCTACCTTAATTGCGGGAGGTGCTGCACCCGATGTTGACAACGAGAGGGAGGGCGCGGGGGAGGCATCTTCGTCCGAGAGCGATTCTGAGGTCGAGCTTGATGAGCTCCACGTCGGCCTTGCTCCTCTTGACGACCCACCAGAGGTTGCCATTCCTGAAGCATTTCAGGATGACAATCTCGTGTGGGACCTAGACGATCCATCCAGCCCCTAATGTGTATTAGTTTTAAGGAGTTCGCTTTAAGCATTTAGTTTTAAGATTTTATTTGTAAGGTTGTAGGTTTTAAGGATTCTGTAAAGTATATTAGCTTTAAGATAATAACACCCAACCCAATTCACGTTTTTCACTCTAATTTCTCTTAAATGACAACCTTACACTCATTATTCTCTCAACTTATCCACACATTTCTTTTCCTTCACTTACCTTCACACTCGATCTCCTTTTCCTCCTAACTTTCCCATTTTCTTTCTTCGGCTGCAATGCTCGCCTCCCAGCGGAATGTTGTCACACTTACGTATACTATTCGATGCTATTCGCCTTTCGCAGTACAAACACTTTGGTAAGTTCTTACTATGTATGTGGAGCTTATTCACATATCCGTCGCATATACTAAATAGGGCATACTTTGCTCATATGATACACCTCTCACATACTATTGATCTCATCATTGTGGTACCGATGTAGTAATATTGCTGACAACAGTCTTCGCTCCATTCTACACCCCTTCGCATGACTTTGCGCCACTTGCAACTACAGAACTGACTTCTCTCGGCGAGTTCCACAATTTAAGCATATATTTCCAAGGTCATCCCTTCTACATCTCAAGGTCGTTCACTCCTACAAGGTCACACCCACTCAAGGTCGAGAGTGCTCGAGGTCATATATGTTCAAGGGCACACTTCAAGGTCACTCGGAAACTCAATGTCACACTTCAAGGTCACTCGGAAACTCAAGGTCACACTTCAAGGTCACTCGGAAACTCAAGGTCACATTTCAAGGTTGGCACCGAAGGTCGGCGCTCAAGGGCGTCCCAGAACATACAAACCCTATCTACTTTCGTTATTGTCTAGGTTTCAAATGCATTCTTTAGAACTTAGAAGGAAGTGTGCGTCAATTATGTTCTTGCATAAACTACTGCACAATCAAATTGATGCTAAGGGGACTGTGGCTCAACTCAACTTTAATGTTCCATCTATTCAAACTCGTACAGCTAAAACCTTTTATTTTGATAGGACTCGCACAAATTTGTCTTTGAAGGCAGCCATATATGTGATGTGTGAAACGTTCAATGCGATATCAAATTCTCACTTGATTTTTTAAGTTCTTTTTCTTGTTTGTTTTTTTTCTATTTAGATGAAATCTCCTGTTTTTTATGTGTTTTCTGTTTTTGTTAGTTTCATTTATCTCATGATTGCCCTGTAAATGGTTTCCTTAACTGTTGGACAATAAACGCTATTTATATATTTATTTACTTATTAAAAAATGGAAAACCATAGGTACAGGGTGCGCCATCTTTTATGTCTGTATGTAAACATGAAATAACTTTGAAAAAGAAAAACTGATTTCTATATATCGGGTATTTTTATTAAATATGGTCCATTGCAATATATTGAGACTATTATGAAAAAATCTATCGAAAGCTTTAGGGCATCAAAAAAAATTATACTCAACCTCAAATATGACCTAGACAATTTACCGCAGAGGAGGTCGAGTTTGTAAAATGTAGCATCTAAAATATCCTGTGGTCTTCATGCTGATAAAACTAAATGTTTTTGTGGCCGCCACATGAACCTTCATATATTGGCTTAAGTATTTACTAACGCCTCAGCCACCTCGGTAGCCTTTTTCAGCGCAAATAAAAAAATGACAAAGATGTCTCGTGGGACCTGATTTAAGATAAGTGGTCACTGCAGCCGAGGGACGTAGGAAGAAGCTGGAGTTGTAGTCTGTGCATTTTGGGTGCTACTCTACCTGTTTGCAAGCGACTTTTCAAAACATCAGGAGGCATTCCAACAGCCCAGTTTGCTATACCAGCTGCCCCGCCCGCCACAATGGTTCCTAGAATACTGGGTGGTTCAGTTTGATTGTTGGTGATGGCATCCTTGATCGCTTCATAGGTGAGGAAGTACATTCCACTAGCGGGTACATCTAAATATATAAAACATTGATTAAGTGATTCTATCTGAATACTAATAATACCATAAACACGAGTCCGAAAACTTATCCGAGATGAAATGAGATACCGTAGCGTCATCCATGAGAATCTGTCACAGATATCTTAAGTAGTGTTTCATAGATTGCGCTGTAGTCAACTATATCTGAGCATATAGCTGCAGCGCCAGACACAAACCTTTTTAAAGTAGGATTCTAATTATTGTGGAGAGAAGAAAGATAGCTGTGACAAATTCTCATGGGTGACGCTACGGTCTGTCATCTCCGATAATTTTCATGATACACGAATATAGTATTAGGTTGGCTATCCTCAGGTAGAATAAGTTAATCAAAGAGAAAAACAAAGTTGTATAAAAGATATACAATATTCGTATTTTGTGTTGGAGGAATGATAATTTGTCAGTAAAGCACTTAAGCGAGGATCTAGGGGGGTCATGACCCCTACCGGATGGAATCTAGTTCTACAAAACCTAGGCAGTTCAAAAATCCGATTAACAAAATTTCTTTGGGATCCTCATATGGATGGAGAAGGCGACGTGGTGAAAGGAGGAATCCACAGTTTTTTGTTGAAAGACATGTTCATCACACTGTTGGAGTTATGGTTTGGGGTGCTATAGCTTATGGTTCCAGGTCACCTTTAATCTTCATCAGAGGTAACATGAACGCGCAGCGTTATATCCACGAAGTTCTAGAACCCCATCTTTTACCCTGTCTTGACACCCTGGCAGATCCAACTTTCCAACAAGATAATGCCCGACCACATGTTGCAAGAGTCACAATAGACTTCTTTCAACATAATGATGTCACATTGTTACCATGGCCACCAAGATCTCCCGACTTATCCCCAATTGAGCACGTGTGGGATATGATGGGTAGGAGATTGCTCAATTTGCAACGTCCTCCTCAGACTCTAGAAGCACTTCGAGAGGAGTTGGTGGTTGCCTGGAATGAGATGACAGGATGACATTGACCACCTGATCAGAAGCATGCCTAGGCGCGTTGGAGAATGCGTAGCACATCAGGGTGCATCCACACATTATTAAAGGTCAAAGGGCTTTAAAGCAGTGCAATCATTTTGAAATTTTTATCATTTACTTATTATGCTTCATTAAGTACTTATACAAAATTTTATTAAAATAAAACCATTTAAACTGGGTGTTCGGATTTATATGTCACTTAGTATAATTGTTTGAATAAGCGAAACTCATGGGTAATATCAAGTTTTATTTACAATTGCTCTTCACCAAGGGAATAGGTATATTGTTGCTGGTTAGGTTTTTTGTGACTGGGTCAATCACGATCGTATACTGCGACTCACTGGTCTATTGTGGGTCACACCTATTTATATTTCTCCCAGAGGGAGTCGATTAATTTATTTGGAGAAATATACTTCAGGTCTACTTGGAGTACTGCCCTCCCAAGTATATTGTACCCGACTCATGCTTTACTGTTTCATCTCTATCCATGACCGTTTACCTTGGACATCTGTTTTGTGCTTTTTCGGCAACTCATCAACTTTGTCTTTGTGACAACAAACGAAAACATAGCAACTATCCTCTATTCATGTCTTATTTCGATAGGGTCTCTTGTGCTGAACAAGATTTTTCATGAACTGATGACGGCGTTGCGTGGGGAATGCAGAGTCAACCTACTTATTATTTTGTTTTGTAATTACTGTACTATAAATCCAATAAGACACAAATAGTAACAAATCGCAGGTTAGATGTTTAACAAAAAAAAATCTGGTCAAACATTATACACAACTATTAAAGATTGGTATCAGGAATAAGCAGTTATCAAGAAGATAGATAATGGAAATGCTTCTGTGCAGAAACAGAAAAATAACGTAGCTATTTTATCAGTTGATGTGTGGGGGTGTATTTCCTGTGCTTATATCACTCTACTCTCGGACTTTACCGCAACAACTTAAAGAATGTATTGGTATAGTTCCTTGCTCATAACATTTACCTCTTTGTTTTTACAGGTAAGTACTCATAAATAATTTTATATTGATTTTTCGATAGACTCATTTTCTATCCTAAATTTCGCGTATCACATTTCACGATTTCTTGAGGGTCATATTCGATTTACCTGATCCGAGTTTTACTCGCTTGTTCCCTAGGATTATGAAAATGCCAATTCTGAATGCAAAAGTTCCGAATTTAATATAATTTCGACGCTAGCGTCCACGAGAAATCGAAAACGTTCTATTTTCTACCTAAAATTCTGATCAGCGACACTTTGATTTTTAGCGGTCATACCCCCAAATCACTCATTTGTACAAATATTTGTTCATTTGTAACATCGAGAGACAAAGTTAGAATTTTTGCCCCAGCGTCATATTTTTATGTGTCCTGCAAAAAAAATTTCAAAATTGCCCGTGGAAAACTTGGGTGAATCGGATGCGTATATCCCAAGTCTGATAAACTGCTATAAGAAAAACGCGGTTTTCTAAGCGACTAATTTTATACTTCAAGTCCGAATCCACGAATTTTCACGATTTTTGACATTCATAGTATTCCGCGCTACATTACTCCAGTGTACCACGTTTCATTAGCTTGTAACAACGAGTGACTTAACTGGAAATTTTGTCCTACTTTTAACGAGAAATTTTCAAAATCGAATGTGAATGGTATTCGCCTACTGCCTAGGATTATAAAAATGAAACTTTTTAAAGGTAAGGCCATATAGTTATCATGAAACGTATTATAACGAAATTCCAAAAATCTTTTGAGTACCTATGTAAATGATGTAAATAAAAGCTCGTTTTCCGAGTAAATCGAGTGGGTAGATTCTGAATTTAATATAATTTCGACGCTACCGTCCACGAGAAGTCCCAATATTATACATAAAATTCTGCTCAACATTTTTATGATATGATATATGACTCATTTGTACAAACTTTCTTTCATTTGTAATAACAGGAGACGAGGTTAGAATTTTTGTCTTATTGTGTTTTGTGATATTTTCATGTTTTCTATGAGAAAATTTTCAAAACACTATCTGTTTTCAAAGTTGAGTCATTTTATCATTTTAACATTTTATAAAAATGTCTTTTATTATGCAACTTTCATATAGGTGATTTTTGTTATATTAACTCCTTTTGACGAGTCCTACAAGCAGTCAAAATAAATGACTTAACTTTGAAAACAAGCTGTACGTACGAAAACTCATTCTTCTGGATAAATCGGGTGTGCAGATCGCGAATCTTATATAATACGTTAATACTTTGATATTCATATTCATATTCAGCGCCCTAAATTACTTGAGTGTACAGTCTGCGAAAACAAAAAAATTGCCTTTTGTGGCCTAACAGTAATCTCAAAATACTCTACGGGGTCCTGTGAAATAAGGTTTATTTTATAATTATGACCTCAAAAATTATAATTTTTAACCGAGTTTTTAAGCATTAAATGTACCCATTTCTAGTGATTTTTATAGATTAAATCGGGTATAACTCGAAAATGGTCAGCTTTAGAGAAAAGTTAATGGGAGCCTTTTTATGTTATTCTGTTCATGTATTTTTCAACAGATACAAGATCCAATTACAGAGAAACACTATACAAGTGCTGGAAAACTTATAGACACACACAAATTAACGCCATTCAAAATATATAATTTTCCCTTTGTAGATCCTTTGGGCTTGAAGTACCACAGCACGTGGCTATAACCGGCCGCGTGGTTGTGGTTAGTTGTCGCCTTGAAAATTCGAGGTCTTCTAGCCATTTTATACTACAATGTGTGGGTTGGCTCTTGTTGTGGACTTCGTGTGTCATTTTTTTTGCTTCTCCATCTTCGTTTTCTCAGGTTACACCCGTATCCGGATGTATGAGCATGTGTATCTACTTTTGTAGTTGCATAATATGTGCATTCATTTCGGGCCTGATGAAACCAACCAGCAGAAATACGTATCGCTCGGTTTACCTATCCTATTTTCTGCTCGAATCCACTTTCCATCTTTTTGCGGATTTTGCCCACTATTTTCTAATTTTTTTGTTATATACATTTCTCCGCATGATTATTTTCTCTTTATATATATATATATAAAGAGAAAATTCGACACAATTCACAATTCAAAAATGTATACGCTCAAAATAAAATAATTATTTGGGCATAGAAAATAAACATATTCTCAACATGCATCTTAATTCAAGGAATTGGTGTAACATATTGGCAACGCGTCAGCGTTGCTAGGGAGCACAGTGATGAGCTTCGCTACCCAACCGGCTTCTATTTCTTTTTAGCATATGTTTCTATTTACACTTCTCTCTCGTATCCATTGAAGTCAAGTCGTCAGACAAATTTGGTTCTCACTGTATAGTAGTAGGACGTCTTTTGAGAAAATTTTAAATCATTCATCGAAACATGTTCCAGGTAAGAGCGATATTAGGAGAAGGAATAGACTGTCCTTCAATATGTACTTGTCGCTTGAATAGATTGTCAGAAACTGCTATCAACAGATTTGTTAGAAAAAATGGAGAACCAATCATCGGAGAATTTGGATCTTCAGAGAACAATGAGGTAAGTACATAAAAATAGGATTTTTAAAATTTTCGTCGATATAAGAATATCTCAGAACTCAATAAATTATCATAATTCTTAGTGAGTTTAAACATTTTGGATCAATCTCACAATTTTAAAATCTACGTGGGTAATCTCAAAAGTAAGCTTTCCATTTTTACCTCACACGCCACTGGCGGGAACGAATTGTAATCGTGAAAATTTTCGAAAATTAAATGAATATGTTTTTTGGATGTTATATGATACGAACACCCCGAAAAACCATGTCACCCATTTCCTGTCTGTCTGTCCGCTAATCTTATAACCGCCTATAACTTGAGTACTACCGCTCGGATTTCGATGAAAAACGCAAACAAATTTTTTGGTGCTGGTACATTTATACGCTCCCAGTATTGGTAATTCTACGCACCACCTATTAGACATATTTCTCATATCATACATTTCTCTGTACATTAGCCCTTCTTCCGAGCAACAGCATAGTGTTTTCTATGCTCTGACCGCGCTAGCACGGTGCCACGTCTGCCCGAGTTAGGTAACGAGGAGAGGTGACGTGTCCAGATGCACTACCAGTAGGGCAGGGAAAGAATGTCTATGGACTTGTATGTACCTGTTTGACTGACTTTTTTCTCAGATGGTCTAGTTTGTGCTGAACATATTCCTTTATGGGCGTTGCGTGGGAAGTGCAGAGTCACCCTACTTGTCGCTATTTTTTAGGTACATAAAGTATTTATTTCCAATGATTGATACATAATTATAAAGCTCAAGTATTGGTCTATTTTTCTACATAATGGCCATTCTGGTCGAGGCATCTTTGAAGAAGCTGCGTCAGTTGTATTCCATGTCATAGCAGCTCGCCGCCAAGTCTCTGAGGAAGCCCTGACCCTCATATTTCATTTCCGTCGTCGGAACTGAATCGCTTTCCGGTCAAAACATCATCACAGTATTATGAAACAATAAAAAAATTCAGACGCACAATTCAGAACCAAAGAAAAGGAATGTTGTCGTTGTTCTGAGACAGTTTGGATGAGATAATCTCCGGCCCACCGTATTGTGCGAATTTGGCAACTAGTGACTACCACCTGTTCACTAAGTTGGAAGAACACTTGACAAGGTGATTGAGTTTCGACTATGAGGTAAAAGAGGAGGTGTAATGTTTCACCAAGGATCCGGCGGGAGCTGGCATAACATGGCAGACAAAGACCGACACGGGTATTACGTATTTTGAAAAGTGACATTTTAGTCGGTTTTTTTACATTTCATACGTTTTTTTGTGAGATAATGTAGGTTTATCTACAAGATGTCAACGTAGCACTAGCTTTTGTATACTTGTTGTGAAGTCGTTTTGTAGCTGTACGTGTTGCCTAAATGTCATGATGCTTCAGCTATCAATGTTTGGCACTGATGTGATGTAACATCTGCTTCAGAGATGGTATTTGAAGGTCTAAGCTGTAAGTTGTATACTATAGCTGGAAGGAGATGGCAAGGCATAGGTGCATACTGAGGATTTGTGTGCTAATTATCTGTGTTGGTGATAATTAAATTGGTTTCTTGTCTCAAATACGATTACTTGAGATGTAGTCAAGGCTAGAAATTAGTTGCGGGTCCATTTTTTCTTATTGATTCTGGAAATTACACAAATTTACTGAATTTCAAAAATGAGAGAGATAAGAAAACAAAATCCCTGGTTGGTGAAAGTAATTAACTTCATGTGGAGTCTTAAATTTTATACATACATATTGTCACATATTGCAATTATATTTACTGTACACTGTGGAATTACAAGTCATATACATGCTAACAGTAATTACACATCCAGATGCGACCTTGCTACTCAACCAACTTTCTTTCTTTCACATCTTCTCAGAGATAAACACTACTTGGCTTTCTGCAACCAACAATGCATGCTTGAGCGTGTCGTTGAGTCATTCCTCCATAGACGAACGCTTCTGATAACGCTCACAGCGATCATAATGAGCAAACGTGGAATTAACTGTTTGCACACTAAAAACTATACCTAGTCTGCAACATGACATTTTGTCGTTTTTTTTTTTAGGTTTTCTACATAATACCGCTACGACACAGCGTCTACAAAAATGCATCGAAGAGACAAAAAATAGACAAAAGTTTAAGCTTTATGATGCAGTATTGATTATTAAAAATGAATCCTTATTCTACTTTAAAAAATGGCGTCAAGTAGGTTGACTTTGCATTTTTCATGCGATGCTGTAATCAGTTCACAAAAAATTACGCTTGGCACAAGTTAGTCCCTCTGAAAAAAAATTAGCAATCATGTATAACAATAAAATTAATCGAATCAAGTCAGTCAAACAGATCCCTACAATCAGTCCATAGTCCCCAACCATTTAACAATGTTGCAATGTAGAAATTTCTCCACTGCCATACCGACAGTACCAATCATCTCGTAACGTTGCTATGGCTAACCTCGCCACTTGGCCGCCAAGGCAGCTATTCATGTCAGGTATTAAAATGCGTTGGTTGAAAATATGTCTCTATCATTCTAAGTTTTAAGGGCAAATATACGGGAATAGTGTCTGGAATTTGTCTAGCAGGTGCGTACGATTGAAGCGTATAAATATACTAGCACCAAAAAAGATATGCCCTCCTCACCCCCTATGACCCTCAAATTTTAGGCCCTGTAAAAATTATTCTGGAACCAAAAGTCCCAGAAATGCGAAGAAACGAAGTTTGTTCGGTTATTTTCTTCTAGTTTTCGCCCCTGAATCAAGTGCAATGTGTGACTCGGTTTTTCGTGATATACATGTAATAACTTATTTGTGGGAGTATACCCACGTATATTTTTTATATCACAGTACAGTTTTTATTTTGAATCACAGTGTTATTTTTTCTTGAAAGGCATAGTAAATTTCATTGTTTTTCATAGGTTTTATACGACGAAAAGCAAGACATGCCCGAATTCTTAGATAGTCACGAAAACCCTATAATCAGATCTGCAATATGCATTCTTCAAACAGAAACTAGTCCTCTGGAACTATTTGAAGCACTTCCAGAAACTACAGAGAGTCTCACACTAATCCAAGGCTACGAATCTGGAAACAAGACTTTCAAAGTAAGCACTCTCGCAAAATTCCCAAAGCTAGTCACTTTAGAACTACTTGGAGCTAGCTTGATTAACCATACTTCTAACTCGCACCTTATATGCGAGGTGGACACGCCGTTACCAGATCTGAAGTACTTAAACTTAGAAAAGGTGCTTATTCGTAACTCCAAACAGCAAATTGTCAATTTTTTGAAAGAAATCAGTGAGGAAGATCAAACTTTTGAATATGTACAACGGATCAATGATGATCATCAACTGACTATGTTACAAAAAGGCGTGACACAAGAAGAGGTCATACCTTATGAACTATTCAAACAGCAACGTGAAACAAATGGTGATGCTACTTTGTTCATAGGTTTCAAGAGTTTGATTTTGCTTAGAATAGCTGGATGTGAACTGAACATTCACTGGGAGATGTTTGATAGATTGAGCAACTTGGAATATTTGATTTTAGAAAAGAATAATTTGAAATTCATTCCAGCGTTCACGTTTTATGGAACACCCAACTTAAAATATCTGTCACTAGCGCATAATAAGTTGCTTGATATACAAATCACAGATTTAGCAGGGTTATTAGAACTAGAAGTCTTAGATCTATCATATAACAATTTTACCCAACTGTCGGAACTGTCATTTCCTCCATTCCCTAAGCTAAAATTGGCCAATTTTGCTAACAACCCAATCAGCGTTATATTCCCTAATACATTTGAAGTTATGAACACAACAAATTCACTGATAATAGGTAGTGATTATATGAAACTAACTTTGATAACAAATTCTTTAAGTGGCTTGAATATGTTGGAGAAACTCACTATAAACAATCTTGAGTTAAGATTGCTGAAAAGAGATATGTTCAATGGTTTGCCGAATTTGTTAGAACTTATAATGAATGGCAACATAACTGAGATAGAATATGATGCATTTTTGGAAGTAAATAAAATCGAAAAACTCCATCTAAGTAATTGTCAACTTGAAACTCTTAGCATGGATTCTTTTATCGGACTTAAAAAACTTCTTTATTTGGATCTGTCAAACAATAACTTGCAAAATCTACCACCAGGCGTATTCGACCAACTTACGTCGATAAAAGAGTTGTATTTGAATGGTAACAAATTGCAACAGTTACCACTACGTATTTTTTCAAAATTACACGCAAAATTGATACGACTAAATGACAATCCTTGGGAGTGTAGTTGTGCTATGTCTGACTGGAAGCCTATGATAATCAATAAAGTTAAAGTCAAAGTACTCAAAAAGTGTGATTATTCGGCTGATAAAGGCATAGAGTGCTCGGAAAAGGATCCATACGAATTCAAGTATATTTACGAAAACAAAGTCGCCCCAAAATGCGTGAAGCCGATACAATTTTTGAACTGGAACCTGTTTCATGCCATGAGACGTATCCTGCAATGTCCAGACTATAAACCAAAATTGAGAAAAAGTCATGTTACTGTGGACACTCAAACTGGTACAACAGAAATACTGGTTTCAACTACTGAATCGTTCAAGTCCAATTACAAAAAACGAAAAATGTTACTTAGGAAACGATTGTTGAAAAGAAAACAATATTTGAAAAAAATTAATACTTCAGAGGATAATAACATCAGTCTAAAGCAAAAATTAACAGTGAATAAAAGTATCGATGAGGAAATTAGTAATAACATTAATATAATATGAACTGTATTACAAGCTATCACAAAAAAATCTATGATGACTTCGAGTTTTTTTTACCTGTTTTTTACGCTGATACAAGCAACTGAATACCTACTGTAAACTGTAATGTAGCTTTTGTAAATTTTATATTTGTGTACAAGACACTATAATCAAAACCAAGTGAATAACCAAAATTTCTGTGTTATGTACCGCGGTTATAATATGGTTTAAGATGACACACGGGTTGATGACGTCAGTTACTCGAATCGCTTGAACGTGTTGGTTTTAACCGCGGTTTTGTTGCAGGTTGTTTATTTTAGAAAAGCGCGTATATAATTTCTGATTATTTTTTATCACTTAATAATCGGTGCTTTTTCGTCTACAACAGTGTATGGAAAGATTAAAAAAGAAACCTTTCATAATATTAATGGGAGAAATGTTTTTTTTTCAGAAAATAATTTTTAATGATGGAACCATGGCCTTGTGCTATGATAACTTTCAATTCTCTAAACTTTGCCGCATGTCAAAGAACACATTTATTGATTTAGCATAAATGATAGGAAAAACCGTATACAGGTGGACATTATTCAGTAAGTTTATATGGCCATATTTTAATATTCTTGTGGTATATGGTTAAGCATAGGAACAAGATTTAAAGTGTCCCCAACAACAGAAATGAGATGTTCTACTTTATGCTACAACTGAAGTCAGCCTGTATCAAGTTTCCCAGAAATGAAGCTGAAGTACAACAAAAATATCCAATACCCGGAAAAATTCTAACTTGTCACATTTCAAATAATAACCAGAAATTTAAAATTACTCCTGAGTTGAGTAAACACCACAATTTTGCGGTGATAACTATGACATATAACAGCTGATACATGATGTCACGGATCTTATAACCAAACTGATAACCATACTCACTTGAACGAATCAGTAAATACTAATCCAAAATGGTAAATACCGTTATCATTTGGTTATTCGCTTGAATTCGATTTATATATCTTTTAAAAATAGGTTAAGCTTTCAGAATTTAAAGTCACAATGCATAAAGACTTATTCTTTCACTAAAGTTATCCTTGTTGTGAGAAAACCTTGTAAACTTGACAGTCTATAGGAGTAACAGGAGAGCTTCACAATAAGGAGACTTCAAGTAATTATAATGTACTTGTGTATGATGGCCGAGTGGAGACATATGTAAATACACAAATTCTTGTAAATAAGAAATATATAAATGTACAATGTAAAATAGCAATTCTGCATATGTAACATTTACACAATAAATATTAGAATTCATATTAGTGTCATCTTGTTATTCTTTTTAGTTTTTACCTCATATATAAGTACAGGGCAACTGTTTGAATACATCAAAATAAGTATTTTCAATTTTTTCCACCTTACGTATGTTGAAATAAAGCAGGTTTCCAAAAAATTAAGTGCTTACCCCTTAACATTGTAGCAGCAGATCCCCTATAAATGCTTTGGATGCCCCCTTGCCTGTAAAGCTTTTTCAAACAGTCTACAGGTCCATCATAAACTTTAGGGGCATTTATGCCATGTTGTATTTGGAGAAGACACTTGATTCTTTCTCCAGGGGCCATTATGAGAGTTGTAAAAATGCCAGAAAATGCTCCAGCAGTAAAATACTCTATGTATGATAACTGGGAACCATTAGCTGGACCAAAAATTTGCTTCCCCACTCCATAGCCCATGAAGGAAATTGCAAATATTGGGGCTACTCCTACCAGTGGTGCTCCCATACCTACAATAATATTTTTTCATACTTTTGTGGGATTCAAGTCAGTAACCACACCTTTATACAGCCCTCTAAAGCCTTCATTCCTGATTGTCTTTTTGAAACAGTCTAGTGTGCCTGTGTAAAGTGGTTGTTCACCCTTCTTTGTTATAGGCATAGTTTGCAGTCTGACCTGCAAACATTTGGATTAAAAGAAAGACAGTTTATATAATTATAGACATACCTTTATTGTATCCAAGGGGTGTCCTACTAAAACTGTACATATTCCTCCGAAACCCCCACAAATGAAGTATTCCCCAGGCCCCATTTCCCCCATTTTCCTCCTCGATATGCAGTCCAAAGACACAGTTCAACTCAAAGAATAGACTGTATAGTCCAATCACATACAGATAATTTAAATAAAATTGATTAGCAAAGTAGTAGAAACATATTCTGGAATTTTTATAATTAAAAAATGTCAAATAACCAGCCAGACCGTGCCTGCTATTCTGTAAGTAAATTCGAGAGTTTAGAGATGGGCAAGTGTTGTGCTTTCACTATCACGTATTCGTTCTTCGGTCAGCAGACTATTTTAATATTTTCGCACGAGACAAGTTCACAGTTTTCCTATCTAAGCATCCTAATATTCTAAGGGGGGTAATTACCCGCGCCCCAGACGACTCGTCGAGCAGTCTTTGAAAAGGTGGCATACACGTCTTATAAAAAAATCTGTAACTTTAAGAAAGGTTAGCGGCAACACTGCCAATCCGCTCAGTGCTCATGCGACTAGCGACTACTCTCCCACCAACAGCAACGGTGTGTGCTTCTTTCTGTTGGAACAGGTATAGTCTAGTCTTTTATGGTCTAGTCTAGTGTCTAAATTCTGTACCAGTCCGGAGTCCGCAACAAAATTTGGCTGAGAAGTGATCAAGTGTTGTTGATCTGGTTGGTATTAGCGCTATTTTCTATGTTCTATTGATTTTTTATTTTCCACGCATAAGCCAGAAAATTAATTTTTGTTTGTTTTTAATTTTTATAATATAAAAGAATCGTGTCTAAAAAATGACAGACGGAAAAATGGATATTTAATATAATTTGATTTACGAAGTGTTTGCTCCAAACTCCAGCTATCATTATCATCTATGTCTATTTTGTCTTGTAAGTTCCTGTATATAAGCAATTCAGTGCATTTCGTTCGTCCAAGATGGCAAATTATATATTTAGTTTTTGAAAATTGCGTAAACTTAAGAAATCTTGTTTTCCAATCAGAAAAGGTTCTTTGTTATGAGATACGTTAATGCGTGGAAACCAATAATGCCGTTTATTTGACAATATTTGTGTGACTTTTAGTGCTGGTTGACGGCTGCTGTTCTTAGGATGAGCAAAAGAAAACAGAATATCATCGATTGGTTCCTTTCTAAACATAACTGTCTGATCCACCGGCACAAGAATAACCGGAAAAAACTGATGATAATACTACAAATCAACCTGAGCCTTTCACTTCAAAATTTCTTGATGTTGCACCGTATGCTGAACCAAGTGTTGAACAATCGGGTGCGAAAACCTAAAGGATCCAATTTTGTTCATGTTGCGCCATATGTAAATTTCAGCGGCAACTTGTCTTCCCATGAAAAATATACCTTACTGAGGTGTGCAATGATCGCTAACGACTCTTTCAAATATCCCTATTCAACACATTTGAAACATAATAAAGAAGTGAAATGTTAGTTATTAGTTATGCTCATTATTGTTGTTGGGAACACTTTCAATCTAGTTCCCATGTTCAACAAAGTATCCTGTGTAGCCATATACCACAAGAATATTAAAATAGGACCATTTAACTCACTGGATGATGTCCAGCTGTATACGGTTTTGATAATATCTTTTTTCATCGGTTTTTCATCATTTCTGCTAAATCAATAAATGTTTTCTTTAACATGCGGAAAACTTTAGAGAATTGAAGGTTATCATAGCTACAAAACCATGGTTCCATCATTAAAAAAAATTTCCTGAAAAAAATAACATTTCTCCCACAATTATTATGAAAGGTTTCTTATTTAAACTTTCTATACACCGTTGTAGACAAAAAAGCACCGATTATTAAGTGATAATAAAAATAATCAGAGGTTATCTAGGCACTTTTCTAAAATAAACAACTTGCAACAAAACCGCGGTTAAAACCAACGGGTTCATAGCATATTATAACCGCGGCACATAACACAGAAATTTTGGTTATTCGCTTGGATTTGATTAAAATGTCTAATAAACCATGTACAGCGTTACCTTAGGACGTGTATAGCGTTTTAGGATTTACTTTACATTTTGTCGTGGTTAGTGCGCCGCTGAGCATTTGAGGCTTTGTAATAAACATACACACACATTCTAAAAAGAAACAGATATTAAGTAAAAAAAATTATAAATAATTAACAGAAAAACCTATGCAGTAATGAAATCTGACAATGTCGCACAACTTATTGAAACGACGCTGTCATATCTTCTGCTTCTGTGATCCTGTTTTTCACTTTTTATCCGTCAAGAAAGAAACATGTTTTTTCAAGTTTCAAAATCGCCGCTTATCTTTATGGGATCTAAAAATTTCTGGACATTTCATGAGTCATACTGATCACCGTGAACAATACCCAAACTCGACTATCGTCCATAAAGTAAGATATAAACACTCCAAAAAAACCTATTATATAGCAAAATTTTTGAGAACCTTCATATTTGCGTTCATTTTTAGTCCCTTTTCTGCCATCTACACCCAAAAACTAGGATCCGAAATAATTATTTCATCAAAAACGGCTGGTGTGGCTAGAGAATGACCGTATATATATATTCATATTTATCTATTAGGCAACTCATCTCTAGCAAATCGGATGACAATTGACAAAAGTATCTGCTTGACGGATTATTCCGTCGCTCCGTGCCTGTAGGGTAGATTGTTCTATGAACATAATTAAAAATCAAAATAAAAACAAATATTCATAAAATGAGTTTAAATTTGCGACAGTCTTTCAAAAAATTAGCGTATAAGTGTGTGCTATATTTATTGTGATTAACCTAATATACTAGGCAACAAAATATAAGGTTAAGAATAAATATAACCTCCTAGTTTTGTTTGTTACTCAAGGCTTATTTTGGATTTCAGGGTGAAAATGTCTAGCTACTTGAATGAAAATGTCTACACGCACACGTTTACTCCAAAGGAGTACCAAGTTGAGTTATTGGATTCAGTAAAAAAGAAGAATACTATAGTTTGTTCTAGTACAAGTTCCTCCAAAGCATTCATCGTAGTGAAATTGTTGCAAGAATATGCATGGGGCATGAGAAAATCGAAAGGGAAGCGAGCGTTGTTCGTATTAGATCCTCAGAATGTTCCAATAATGACCTCACATGTAAAGTACTTGACAGACTTGGATGTTATAAGCTTAACCAAAACAGATGAAACAGAACATATCAGCAAGTATTTGGAGCGTTATCATGTGATTATGACCACAGGGGAAATTTGTTGTGACCTACTGAAGCTGCAAGAATTGCAAGACTTGACAATATTCAACTTAATTGTTATAGATGACTGCTTGTATGGGCAGCGCCAAAAATATGTAAAAATGATAATAAGTAGGTATAAATTGCTGCCAGAAAGTTCACGGCCACGTATTCTAGGTCTTACATCAGGTCTATTAAGCACAGAGTTACAGCCAGACAGGCTAGAAGCTGAGCTGAGGAGGCTGGAAAAACTCCTGAACTCACATGTAGATACATCATCTGAAATAGTTACTCTAATAAGATTGTCCTGTAGACCACAAGAAAGTATAATCAAATGCCCAAAGCACTCGCCAACATCTTTACATGAGGCACTGAAAGCAATTGTTAACCATTCTATAGAATTTTTGTTAGAGCATAGATACGACCCTAGTGAGATATATGATGATGATCTATTAGAAGAATTCAGACAAGTGCCAGATCCAAAAGAAACTCCTTTGCAACTTCTGAATGAATTTTTGGAGATACTTGATGATATGGGTCCTTGGTGTGCGGATAAAGCTGCAATAAATATATTATCGAAAATAGAAAAATTGAAAGTTAAAGTTCCTTATGAAAGACATTATCTTTTGCTCTGCATGATATCTACAACTCTGGTGCATGTAAGAGCTGTATGTGATGACACATTTGAAGGTTTAGAAGAACTGGAGAAGCTGAGAAAGTATTCAACACTTAAGGTAGACAAAAAATAGGGAAACATCTCATTTGTGTTTTGTTTTTCCAAGGCCACCTCTAAGAATTTTTTTGCATATGTACAAAAAAGTTGCATAAAGAAATCTCACAATTTTTAACAGTTCATTGCAGTTTTGTATTGGCCAAAAGAATTTTTATCTAGCTTGTCTACTGCTAAGAACATTAAATTTTTTAAAACTAATTTTGTTCTAATATAAAGATTTTCATTCAAGGTGCTTGAATTCCTAGACATATTGAAGCAATTTAAACCACCAGGTGAGAAGCCTGAACCAATAGTAGAGCAAGAAAAATTGCCAGATCCTGAAGCATCACCAAATAAAACCAAGCCCAAAGGTAGAATGCCAAGGAGGAATTTTGTTTCAAGGCCACAGACAGATGATAATTTATGTGCTCTAGTGTTTGCCCATAACAGATATAAAGCCAAAACAATATTTGCATTGCTTTGTGTAAGTATGGTTATATTTGAATCAGTGATTTCAAAAGCACTCCAGTCCATTTTTTCCACCACACATTTTTTATTGCAAATCCTTCTATTAAGGGTTCTGTTCTCGATGGGGGTACTTAAATGGGTCATTTTAAAAACAGTACCAGTATCCCCCTGATATGCATTCAAATCGGGACATCCTGCTAAATATTTTTAAAATTTTATCTGAGATATGGTGTACATCGATCTATACATATGTGCTGGGGGCTAACTTTCAGAGTATTTTTGGAGGGACAGAAAATACGAATTTACCCTAAACTGTTTTCATTTTCTCCTGGCATAATTTCAACTTTGAATAAATTAAGAAATAATAAAAAATATTGATTTATAATTTCCATAGTTGCCCCCATATCATGGATAGCAAATGGAAGGGATTGATAAAAGAAACACAATAAGCAAAGTGACGTCATTCTAATCCACTATGGCGGACGTTTAATACAACAATTAACAGTGCAATATTATTATGACATACATAGATATGATCTGATCATGAAGCCAGGATGTGGCTATGGGAACCCATCGGATAGAGCCTCACTTGATTCCTAATGATAAAGTCTTACAGTTTGGTGATTAAGCTAGTCAACTATTGTGTAAATAATGCTTATCTATAGTAACTTGCTAACATTAGATAGTTCGCTAAAATGTAGGTTCTTCAGTGAATTGGCCAAAAATACTTAATGGACGTAAGTACGTCTCCCGGGTTATAAGAATTTTTTATATTTTTTATTGTTCTTCTTTTTATTTGATCTTAAAATATGTATACATGCAATTAAATATTTTTGCATGCGTGAATAAAACAGTAACAAAGACCTTATACGAGTTATCCTCATTTTTTTCACATATTCTTATTCACATTAATCGTTTAAATTTGGCATTGTTATATTCAATTACTCAGAAAATTAACTCACTTTTTATGTATAAACTAACCATTTCTCCCTATTTTCTCTTTACTTTTTTTTGGAAAATCTCACTATTCTCACTTGAAATTCATGCTTTGGGCCGCCAGCACCCCTGATCCATAAACAGATTTTTCAAAAGCTTTCATCAAAGTTGAGATTTGGGAATATGCTCATATAGTTTGCTGCAGCTCCATCTATGAGACACCAACCGCTTCATAGTAGACTTCTAATTTGTGCAAAGAGGAAAACATAGCTGTGATGCATACTCATAGATAACAATATGGTAATTCATTCCATCTGGAATACTTTTTTGGACGCGTCTATATATGGGGGTAAATCAAATATAAACGGTAATTTTTTTTGTACGTTTATTGAACAATATTATGCCCTTAATGCCCTTTTGCCACCGCTTGGGAAGCTTCAATATTTCCTGTTCATAGAAAGTTTGAGGGCGAGTCTTCATTGCTTTCAAATCGATTCCCTCCCAATGATTCCTTCATAGGCGCGAACAAAAAATGGTCACATGGGGATAAGTCGGGGCTATACGGAGGGTGCTCAAGGGTTCCTCAGCCGATTTTTCCCAGTGTATCCTTGGTCAAAGCCGCGGTGTGAGGCCAGCGTTGTCATGGTATAGAATCACATCCCTGATGGGCATGCTTCGTCTTTTGTTCCGATAAGCGGCACACTTCCATAGCTGATACCGACTTCTGATGAAATTACTTCCACGGTTACCCGGCGATCATGCTCAATAAGCTCTCGAACAGCACGAATGTTGTCACCTTTAAGGCTTGTCCTTGGACGTCGATCATGTGTTTCGTTTTCAACCCGTTCTCGTCCGCCCGTAAATACTCTCGCCCACGTAAACACTCGATTCTGGGACTGTTTCCAAACTGCACCCGCAAACGAGTTTAAATTTCCGATGGTTTAATGCCTTCATTGGTTAAAAGCTTTATTATTATCCGTTGTGCAACAAACTCAGTCATGGCTGTACTGACGGCAACAGCGCGCATGCCCGCCAACAATATCGGTTTCCCCACTCGTCATAAACCAAGAAGCATCTACTCCACCCAACATATGGGAATATAATTCTAAGAAGAATCTTAAAATTACCGTTTATATTTGATTCACCCTCGTAGTATTAGGTCGGCTTTCTTCGGGTAGAATAGTTAAGTAATGAATGACTTAATTTTTCTGTGGGATAAGAAAATTTGTATTTTCAGATGCTTTCTCAGCAAGACGATGACTTCTGGTGGATCTCAACATTATTCTCGGTGGAAAAAGTGGCGGATCCCGTGAAGGAACCTCGCGAAGCTGAACACGAGCACAAAACTCAGGAAGAAGTGTTGCGTAAATTTCGTAGTCACGAATGTAACATTCTAGTTGCCACGTCAATACTTGAACAAGGCTGTGATCTACCTAGATGCAATTTAGTTATAAGGTTCGACTTACCAAAAACATTCCATAGTTACATTCAAAGTAAAGCGCGAGCTCGCGCGAATGATGCTCACTACATAATTTTTGCTAATGAGGAAGAAGTAGATGATTTTGTTGATAGATTGTCAGAGTATAATGAGGTAGAAAATACATTATTGAGACGTTGTTATAGTCTAGAACCTGATAAGCAAGAAGAGAAAGTAGCGGAGCTGTATTCCTCACTTTGTAAACCATACCGGCCTTTGGATGAAGAAGGGGCGCCGAGTATAACGTTGTCGAACTCCATAGCATTACTGAACAGGTATTGTGCCAAATTGCCAAGTGACACCTTTACTCGCCTTACTCCAACCTGGCATGAAGAACAACTCCATAATGGAGAATATATCTGCCATATCAGGCTTCCAATAAACTCTCCACTTAAGCATACAGTCACAAGTCCTGCGATGCCAAATGGCTTACTCGCTAGGAGAGCTGCTGCATTTATGGTCTGTCAGTTGCTGCACATAGCGTGCGAGCTCGACGATTATTTGCAACCAATCAACAAAGAAAACTTTAGAGCTAGCGAAGAGGACTGGAATAACTTCAGCCTGGATGAACCTGATGAAAATTCTGAAATTAGACCAGGTACGAATTCTCAGGCTAATATTTTATGTCGCTTATATAACGTATGTTGAAAGGTTTTTCCTAACCAAAATTCAAAGTAACCAAGTCATTTGTTAAAAAAAGAAGATCTGTGATAATAAATTCGGTCTTGCTCCCAGCAAAGTATTATTATTAGCACTACACCAGTAGACGGAAAAGTTCGATGACATTGTTGTGTAAAGTCTTTTTTATGCTGGATAATGCATGAAATGTGTTGCTCTGTCTTCTGGTTCCTTATTCAGCTTATTCTTGAATAAATTGACAGTTGTTGCATCCACTGTTTTTTTCGCTAAGAGAGTTCCACGAGTACACCGCGCGATGTGAAATTTTCTCCTTATCAACTTAGACTTTTTTGTCATTATCTCGGAAATGAAGATTCTGACTCATATTGTATATTTGAAGGGTACATGAGTAGTAACCACTGATGATCTTGAATGTCTCAATCAGGTCTCCTCGTAGACCTCACTCAGCAGGTGTTGTCACATTCATAGCCCTTACGCGTTGTTCATATGGCAAATGTCAAATCTGTAGTGGAATTCGCGAAAGCTTAGATTGCAGTCTTTCCAGTAATTCAATGTCTTTGACAAAATCGGAAATACATGCACTGTGTGCATATTCAAGGAAAACGGTTTTTAACAGCTCTTTCAATCAAATATATTGGTGACTTGACTTTTTAATTTTGTGTGTAATGTGAGCTTGCCATTTTAAATTATGTGCTATTATAACTTCTAGGTCTTTCTGGTTTCCCTTCTGTCAGTGAAACTGATTTTGAGCAACGCTGAGCTTATCCGCACCTACCAGACATCCCTGGTACTTTTTGAAAAACAATACATGGCTTCAATTACAGTAGTGGACAAAAGTTTGGAAACATTATTAGTAATTTTTAAAAAATGTGCTGATTTTTTATTCTTTATTATTAAGGACTATTTTTTTTCTCGTATAGTTTGCTTACAGCCTTGAGGATACAACTGACAATTTGTGTTTGCTGTGGTACTACAGACTAGCATTAAAATACCTTCATATTATTTTATGACCGAAAATGAGTCGACAAAAGTATGGAAACATGTTTTTTTATTACAAAATTGAATACAATAACTCTATAAAAAGATTTAAAAAATACTGTTTAGCTATTTGGTATCATAGCCATTAGCATTCAACACTGCCTGACATCTGCTGCTGATAGAAGCCACCAATTTTTTACAGACTAGTGTTGGGATGTTTTGGCAAATATTTTTTACATAATCAAATAAATCGTTCCTATTTTTAAAAGTTTTTCTTGTCAGTTGTCTTTTAACATGCTCCTAGAGATGTTCGATAATCTATAGAGCTTAAGACCGGGGATTGCGAAGGCCGTAAGAACATTAACATTTTTTAGTCCTAACCAGTCCTTTACGAATGCTGAGGTATTCTTGGGGTCATTATCTTGCTGGAATGTCCATCGTAAAGGCAGTTCTTCAACAAAAGAGACCATGTGTTCACTAAGAATATCTTTGTAAAGTTTTTGATCCATTTTCCCAACAATTTTAATAATTGGACCCGTGCGAGAACTAGAAAAACAGCCCCAAACCATGATGTATCCTCCACTGTGCTTAACTGTTGGCAACTGATACTTTTTGTCGAATCTTTTTCATATTGGACGTCTCACATATGCCGTACCGTCAGATCCAAACAAATTAAATTTGCTTTCATCGCTCGATATAACCTTATTCCATTGTTGTTCTTTCCAAGTTTTTTCAAATGAGAGATAGAAAGATTATCCTTCTTCTACGATTCTTTTGAAAATCTGTGTGGCTGGCATGCGAGGATCTTCATGGGACAAACGTTTAATGTAGCAATCCAAAACATAATAGTTTTTTTTGGTCTTCTGCACCTGAGCCGCGTTGCTGTTGATTTGTATTCTTGATAATTAACTAATAATTTTCGAAATTGTCCCTTTGTTCATTTTTAATCTTTGAGAAATGTCATCATTTTCTGGCACCACTTCTAAATATTTCAATTACTTTGTCTCTTAAATCTTTTGAAAATTCTTTTACTTTTGCCAGTCTCACTGATGTTAATATTTACCGCACGCAATATCAGAGTATCGCAGAACGAATAAATACGGCAAAACTAAAATGTTTCCATATTTTTGTTGTTACAAAAACACCTGTTTTTATTTTCAGAGAATTTGAATATTGATAAGAAAACCCTTGTATTAGTACGGGAACCGAATGTAGACTTTAATATGTATATTATCCTTCACAATTTTGATTTAGTTATATGAAATAGTTCATAATAATGTTAATATTTGTGTCCAAACTTTTTTCCGCTACTGTATATTTGAAAGAAAACAATGTTCTAAACTGTTCAGGGAACTCACACATTATGACTTAACCCAACAATCATTCACGGCGATCGACACCGATTACCTGTGGCAAGGCAAGGTCATTTTCTTCTAAATCATTGACTTATCGCTAAAGAGGAAGTGATTTTGTAGAGATTATTTTTTATTGTGTTATTCTTGCGCTTAAAGTTTTGGAGTTATCGCAGGAACTCCAGGTTGATATCGGATTTTTTTCTCTTAAAGTGGTTGCCGTTTCGTTTTTGCAGTAGATCTATTATGGACTCATTCAAAATCATCCCAGAATATAAAGGAATAGATACCAACATATGACCAATCTTTATTTACATGTAACTTACACCCTTATGACACATACGAGTACATACTATCATGCTTAGGGAACTCCACGTATATTGTAGTACTTATATTACAGGTACAACAAAAAGAAGACAGTATTATTACAAGAGGGTAGCTGATTGTTTAGTAGATTGCCACCCTGTGGCAGGAAAACCTACGTACTTCTATGAAGTTATGATGACCCTCACTTGTCCATTACCTGAAGAGCAAAACACTAGAGGTAGAAAAATATATCCTCCAGAGGAATCTGTGCAAGGTTTTGGCGTATTAACTTCCAAAGAGATACCAAAGGTTAGATTATATAAAACTTAATGTATAAGAGTATATCTAGTATACTGTATCGACAGAGAATCATTGAGGTGGCATTTCCAATGTGTACGGTAGAGATAGAGGGTGAAACTGAAGCGTTCCCGAAATTTGTCCGCCATCGTCGGATATGGTCACGTTGCCATATTTTACTATATTTCCTCAGGTTGCATGACTTTTGGAATTAGTTGTTGAAATAAATTGAATGATTCTTTCTAAGCCTGAGTTAAGCAAATATTGTAACTGTACACATCTGCTACTCTCTATTTCTGTGGATATCCATACCCATATTAATCTGTCGGTTCTTTCTTTTTGGTGACTATGATGAAAAAATGAATTTTTATTATATACGATGAAAACACTATTGGCCATGATATGACGTCATACAAATAGTAAACAAATAAATGTCATCCGAACGTCACTCGTGGACTAACGTTGTCTTCCTTAAATATTTATAACAAACTACTAATCAACGTAAACAGTCATCGTTTTCTCTTTTTATTGAAAAGAAAAAACAATCATGGACGTTGGATTTGTAATTTTCCGAAAATTGACACATTGATGGTGTGGCGTATTCAATGACTATCTAGGAGCTACAAACATTGATTCTCAATGGCACTTTCCGCGCTTTTGTTGTTGCTATTATACAGGGTGGCCAATATATAACTGACTGATTTGAATTGCGCACCATTTTTGATACACGCATATCAGTAGGTGGCGCCGTAGTAGTTGTTTAAAGCACATGCGGCCAATTTATCATGGAGCACCACACGATCCTACAACGCGTCCGTATTGTTAAAACGTTTTATTTGAATAATGAGTCGATTGTTGCAACGACTCTGGAAAATCTCGAGAGAGTACGTGAAAGTGTAGTGGAGCGCCCTGAGACGTCTACCAGACATCGTTCTCAAGAACTGGGTATTCGTCGCAAGTCATTATGCACAATTTTAAAAAAGACTTGCATTTACGGCGATACAAAATTCAGTTAAACCAAGAGCTACAGCCTAGTGACCATGAAAATTGCCGACAATACAGTCATGCAATATTGCAGCTTAATACCCAAAATAACGATTTTTACCGACTCCTTATAATGAGCGATAAAGCCCACATCGATATGAACGGATTTGTTGATAAGCAGAATTGTAGTATCTGGGCATTACAGCACCCTCGTGTCATCAACAACGACCACTACATCCTCGTCGAGTCACAGCTGGCAGCGGTGTTTGGTGTGGAAGTGTCATTGGACAGTACTTTTTTGAAGACGCTGCAGGTAATTCTCTTACTTTCACTGGCAAGCGCTACCGTGATATGGTTCCTCCTAAAATCCAGCAATTTAACCTGCAAAACATGTGGTTCCAGCAGGACGGAGCAACTTGTCACACAGCTAGGGAAACAATGAACCTTTTGCGAGCAATATTTCCGGGACGTTTAATTTCTCGATTTGGTGATGTCAACTGGCTACCAAGGTCACCGGATTTAACGGCTTCTGACTTTTTTTATAGGGATTTTTGAAAATTAGAGTTTATGCCAACAGACCAAATACTGTAGAGCAGCTGAAAAACAATATTACGGAAGCGATTGAAAATATTCCTCCCGAAACCTACCAAAAAATGGTTTGCGCGGCTTCTAGAGGCGGCCATTTGTCTGATATTATTTTTCATACATAATTTCCAAGTTTGAATAAAATATTAAGATGAAAAAAAAATGGACGTATTTTATTTCATTTCACAAGTATTTAATATACCAGTCAGTTACATATTGATGGCCACCCTGTATGACTTGTACAATTTATTTTATCTTATTCAGTTTCCTCATTTTTAGATTAGTGCATTCCCAATTTTCACCAGATCAGGTGAAGTCAGTGTAGGTTTGAAATTGATATCGAAGAAACTTATTTTAACCGAGGATCAAATTCAGAAAATAAGGGAATTTGTTAACTATACTTTCACGAGTGTTCTAAGACTGCAGAAGTACTTGATGCTTTTTGATCCAGATTCCTCATCGAATGACTATCTGATAGCTCCAACGTTGAAAAGTAAGTACTATGATGATATTTTTTATCTCAATTGTAACATGGTGCATTTTTGTTAGCTGAATCTGGAATAAAAGTAGACTGGGATTTCATCCAAGTGATATATGACAACCTAGCAACAGTTCCAGTGATAGTGCCCGATAGTGATAGGAAAACGTATGTGTTCAAAGAAGAAGACTATAGTGATGCCGTTGTGATGCCCTGGTACCGTAACCAAGATCAACCGCAGTATTTTTATGTAGCCGAAATCTGTAACTACCTCAGTCCGACGTCAGCCTTTCCTGGATCGGAGTATGCCACTTTCCAAGAGTATTATGAAAGAAAATATGGCATCGAGATACAGAATTTATCTCAAAAACTTCTAGATGTCGACCACACCTCCGCAAGACTGAATTTCCTCACTCCAAGGTACGGAATTTCGAAAAGAAAACCTAATATTTTGTTCCATTACAAGTGTTTGGAATAAACAGATGTCTGTGAAGATTTCTGTTTCATGGATTTTGACATATGGGCTATTTATTTTTTTCCACGTCATATAAGGAAAAGCGCTAGAAGTGTGTATCAAGAGAAAGCGATAGAAGCCGGCTGAAGAGCGAAGGTCATCACCACATTGCCTAGCGACGGCAACGCAGACTGTCGTGCAATCTGCCGCATTGCCAATGTTACACCAGAAAATATTCGCACATGCTTCTACAATAGGTTAGGATACTGTCAAACCCAAGAAGGTGGTCGGTTCGAACATTTTGTTTTCATTTAAATTAGAATTATCTTTAATATTCACCGATGGTGATAACATCAACACATCCTTAGTTATTGTTACATTTTCCGACAGTGAGCGATAGGAAAATGTAACCAATACCATGACGCAATACAAATTACCACAGCCTGCGTGAAAACCATTTCGAAACAGGACGACGCTCCCCACTGAGCGCTAGAAGGGTACTGATCAAAATCGCTCATCGGTGGTCATGGAGGTGGAAACTTTGCCTTGGAATGGACGAGATGCGGTGTTGCCAAGCGAACCAATGATGCGATGTTGCAGAATTTGTGGCGATCCTGACCTTTCATTTCGACCTAAACTGGTGCGCCGTTAGGACCGATCCGGAATCGATCCTAAACACCATTCACAATTCAAAAATGTGTACGCTCAAAATAAAACCATTATTTGGGCGTAGAGAATAAACTAACGAATATTTTCAACATGCATCTTGATTCAAGGAACTGGTGTAACATATTGGCAACGCGGCAGGCTGCCACGTCAGCGTTGCTAAGCAACGCGGCGATGAGCTTCGCTATCCAACCGGCTTCTATCTCTTTCTAACATGTGTGTCTCTGCACACTTTCTCTCGTATGCATAGAACTCAAGCCGTCAGACAAATTTGGGTTTATAACGCTTATCGATAAAAATATTCGCTCCTTTCAGTTTAAAGTACTTTTTGAAATTCACACAAGCCTTCACAATTTTCGGCAATTGTCTGGAAAACTAGGATCGTATGGAACCCACGTACTTTTATGTTTTCGCAGAAAGTTACGAATTTAATGTGAAGTGTCAACAAGCCTGATTGACTTGAAGTGCCAACTTGCATTCTGGCTGCTGACCTCGTAATTTTGATTGCAAGCGAATGGTTTATTTACAAACTACTGTGAAATGCAAATGTTCAACTTATTTTAACTGTTTAGTTAAAATCCAAAGAGAGATCATTTCTCAAACGACGCTCAACAATTAACGAAGGTTTGTAAAGATGTTGTCTTGAATTCCAGGTACGTGAACAGAAAGGGCGTGGCCCTGCCAACAAGCAGCGAAGAAACTAAAAGGGCTAAAAGGGAGAATTTGGAGCAAAAACAAATTCTAGTTCCTGAGCTGTGTGCTATTCATCCGTTTCCTGCGTCGCTGTGGAGAAAGGCTGTGGCACTACCGTGTGTTTTGTATAGAATTAATGCGTTGCTTTTAGCTGATCAAATACGGAGAACAGTTGCTGTGGACTTGAATTTGGGAAAAGTGCAATTACCAGAAGGTAAACATTCTCTATAAGCCTTGTCAAGGCTCGAGGGATGTAACGTGACACTATTTTTGACCTTGATGGATACATTTTTTTCAGTACCTGCCAAATATACAGGGCGCGCCATATTTTATGTCGGTATGTAAACATTGAATAATTTTGAAAAAAATGATTTCTGTATATGAGGTATTTTTATTAAATTTGGGCCTTTATTAGTTTTTGAATACAACATCGATCAAGTGGCCACATTGTCTTTTTAAATAACCCCACAAAAAGAAGACCGAATGGGTCAAATCTGGAGATCTGAGTGGCCAGTCAATGTCGCCTCTTTTTGAGGCATCCAGGGAATTTTTGTTGGAAAACCTGGATTGTTTGATTTGCAGTGTGGCATGGCGTACCATCTTGTTGTTAACTATCAAGAGCTTGATCACGCATTTGTGGGTAGACATAATGAGCCAACATCCACCGATATCGATTTCCATCGACTGCTTCGTTTTCTTTGGAAAAAAATGGCCCAGTGAATTTTTTGGCGAAAACGCCGGTCCAGTCACTTTTCGCTCATGCAATGGCGTTTCGTGGATCTCGTGTGGGTGCTCAGTCCCCCAAATGCGGTAATTTTGCTTTTTAACGCCCCCAGAGAGCGTGAAATGGGCCTCTTCGCTCATCAAAATTTGCTTCAAAAAATCAGGTTCAGGGTCAACCAGTCGAGCAACTGTTTGGCCGTATTCCAAGCGACGTGGACGGTCTCTCGGCAACATTTTGTGTGTTAACTGCACTAATGCTGAACGCGGTGACGATAGGACACTTGGAGTTCTGGGCCACGCTTTCTCTGACCGCTTTAACCAGTTTACTGGAACATCTTGGTCTCCCACCGTTCCATACTCAACAAAATTGGAAACCAAACGTCGGATAGTGTTGTCAGACTTTGCAACGATATTTTCGACGTTAACACAACTGAACGTTCTTCACTGTACATTGTCACTATTTTGGCGCGTTGTTTCGGTGTAAAGCGATTCATGGTTAAAATTTTACTTAACTGACGTTTCAAAAACACGTATCAAAAAATTAATCGGATGGTAAATGTCGAAGTTATTCACTGTTGACTTACTGACATAAAAGATTGCGCACCCTGTATTTTTGACCTTGATAGATACAATTTTTTGAGTTTTTGCTTCCACCCTTTTCTATGGTCCGTGTCAAGGCAAGAGGAATTCAATCTGAAATTATTTTTGACCTTGATGGATACATTTTTTGAGTTTTTGTCTGCACCTGAAACCATTCAGTCAATTCAATGGGTTATGAAGTACGGGCGTAATATGTGATGTATTATTAAGTTCTTTTTAGTTTCTGTGCAATTTATTGTGCAAGAAAGTATTGTTATCGCGAAAAATTTTGAAAATAAGATACTATGTTTTTTGATGTTATATGACATGTACACCACGAAAAACCACGTTCGGTCTGTCAATTCGCTAATCCTTGATCCCGCTATAACTTGTGAAGCACCTGAGCTGTGCGTCTATGTAAATTAATAAATGTTTTACACTATTTACTTTACATTTATTGTCCTCAGTATTTTTTATTTGTAGATGGTCGTAAGTTGGAACTTTGTTGGCATACGATGTGAAAGGAATAACATTAGTTTTTTCAATATTTATTGTCAATAATTTAATATCAAGCCAGTCTTTGATTTTACAAAGATCATTTTGTGCTACGCTTCCTAGATCTGTCCAGTTTTCATTTGTATATATTACTACAGTGTCATCAGCGTAGCTCACGATGTCTCCTTCAAATTTTTGATTGAATAAATCTGCCAAATATATGTTAAGAGTAAAGGTCCTAAGATGCTTCCTTGGGAAGCCCCGTACTCGACCGTTGCTTTTATACTGTATTCCAAATTTTTACCGAATGAGTTCTACCATTGGGATACGATTCCAATAGGTTATATGACTTACCTCTAAATCCTATGTTTTGAAAGGTATCAAGGAGTCCAGCGTGACTAATTGTGTCGAAAGCTTTTGACACGTCAATAAAAATTCTGATGCAAGGTATATTGTCGCTTTTTCTATTGATTTGCCTTCAATAAATCCAAACTGCCTTTCTGATAATATGTTTTTCTGTTTTATATAGTTATTTATGCGATTTTTTAGGATTATTTCGAAGATTTTTCGGAGAGTTATTTTTCTATAGTTAGCCATGTTGGTCGCCTGCCCACTTTTAAATACAGAAATATAACCGTTTTCTTAAAGACTGAAGGGCACTGTCCAGTATGGAATGCCCACTCCATTATGAAACTAAATGGTTCCGAAATTTCAATAGCAATTATTTTTATTAGTTTCAGCTCTAATTTCATCCCAGCCCGGGGTTTTTTATTTTTCAAAGACATGATGGTATTTATCACCTCTTCTTCTGACGAATTAATTGACCTTCTTGCCCTTCAATGTCGACTATGACATTTTTTTGTGTATATTCTACAGACAGCTTTTTTGCTATTTTCCATAATGCTGAAGAGTTAGATCCATTCTTCTGGATTTCTTGCTGGCTGTAAGCTTTCTTTGCTCGTTGAATACTCAGATCTAGTTCATTTTTTATCTCTCTGTATCTAGCAATATTTATTATCTGATATTGGTGAATTTTTACTACAGACTAGCATGACAATACCTTCATATTATTTTATGACCGAAAATGAGACGACAAAAGTATGGAAATATATGTTTTATTACAAAGTTAAATACAACAACTCTATAAAAAAATTAAAAAAATACTGTTTAGCTAATATTTGGTAGCATAGCCTTTAGCATTCAATACTGCCGGACATTTGCTGCTCATAGAAGACACTAATTTTTTACAGTCGTCTGTTGGTATATTTTGGAAAATATTTTTTACATCGTTCCTAGTTTTAAAAGTTATTCTTGTCAGTTGTCTTTTAACATGCTCCCAGAGATGTTTTATAGGGGATTGCGAAGGCCATGTAAGAAGATCAACATTTTTTAGTCTTAACCAGCCCTTTACGAATTTTGAGTTATGCTTGGGGTAATTATCTTGCTGGAATGTCCATCGTAAATTAATTTATTCTTCAGCAAACCTTCGGCCTTCTGTCAAAGGTTCATCTCACTCATTATTCCATGACCACCATTTTGTGCAATCATCAAGTGGCTTCACGACGTAATGCTCTAATGTTTTCTAAATAATTTTTAATCTGTCTTTAACTTGTCTTGTCATATTTTATATAATTTTAACCATTGTACCATGTATCCAGCTCTCACCATGTTACTGGACGTTTCCCTCATCCTATACGAAAACAACAATTAGCAACATCCTCACATACTACTGTAAGTTGATTCAATTTAAATTCATTTTACACTTTTGTTGCTACTGTTATCATTGTAATTGCAGCTCCTGATGATGATGGCAAAGTCCATTGAAAGCTAGAGAGAATTAAAAAAAGTATAAAGAGTCCTCTTTGCTTAAATTTTGTCGAAGTACCCAACAAAAGGCGGAAGCTTTAATTTTTCACCTATATATATATATATATATATCACTTTTTAATCTGTAATTCAGCATACTATTTTATAGTTTCAACATCGAAATTACTGCGGTGATCTGCGGCAGTTTTTAGGAATGTTATCTGTACTAGGACGAAAAGTAACAACTTACGCACTCGAACATATATCATCATTAGACTTTATTCAACCAGATTTTGCATTTGAAATATCTGGATACTTACTTTTATACTTATCTTGCATCGTGGAAAAGTCATTTGAATGCTGGCTGTTCGAGACAATGATCAATTTCACTGCTTCCACAGCTGCTTACTAATACCAAATTGTTGGAAATCAATGTTTATATTGCGGCCGTAATCCTCTACTTTTTGTATGTTTATCTTTACGGATTTCGCTTACCTGCTGTTTTCTTTGTAGTTTTAGATTTACGTTTTAATGTTGTTCACCTAGATTGGTCATGCCATATAACATCCCTAAACAATATCTCATTGCAATTCGTCCTCGCCAGTGCAGTGGTACGGAGAGTAAAACGATCCCTCCAATACTTCACCCAAAGCTTGTTTTCATCGACCCGACATTATTGGAAAAACCGTTATTTTCCAGATTTCCAGTGGCCGTCACTGAATTTCGGTTGGAGCCTCTCGGATGTGTTGAGGAAGGCAAGAGAGGAAGAACAGAAAAAACAAGAAGAAAAGCGTAGATTAGAACAAAGAATCGATGAAAAACTACATGAATTGAAGATCACAGAAATAAAACAAGACGAAGAGATGGAAGACGCACTTGACTTACCAGACGCTAGTGAAGATGAAAATGTAGACAAGGAGCAACATGGAGAAAACTGGGTGGAAATAGGCACTTGGTGCAACGAAATGGCAGGCAATGCTGAACATGGCAATAATGGAGCTTTGGTGCGATATGCTTCGCCCACTAGTTGGATGAACTTGGATAATGGTTACGATGACGATTTCTCTGATTCAGATTGTGATTTCTCTAGCGAAGATTCAGAATCTGAGTGGGGAGGACTCAGGATAGAATTCACCGGGGATCATCAAGCTGAAGCGTTGGATGACGATTCAGATGATGATAAAGAGTTTTATCTGTACGATGATGAGAATGCTTGGAAGATTGACGATGACAACGAAGTTACCGAACAGTTGAAGATCGAGTTTCACGAAGCTTGCAAGAAAAACAAACGACACATACTGGCAAGTGGCACAATAGTCAACGATGCTAACTCTTTCAAGAAAAACAATCAAAAGTGCAATGGAATAGGAGATGAACCGGAGATGAAACTACAATCCTATGACTTCTCGAATCTTCACATAGATCCAGCGAAGTACAAGGATGTCATAACGAGTGTTCAGAAAACATCAAAGTGGAATGAATACGAACCATCTGAAGAATTGAAATTTAGCTTCGATGAACAACCCGATTTGACAGAACATCCTGGCCCAAGTCCAAACGTCTTACTTCAAGCTTTGACGATGTCAAACGCAAATGACGGAATCAATCTTGAACGATTAGAAACTATCGGAGATTCGTTTTTAAAATATGCAATCACAAACTACCTCTATGCGAAGTACGAAAATGTCCACGAAGGAAAGCTCAGCCATTTGAGGTCCAAGCAAGTCAGCAATCTTAATTTGTATCGACTTGGAAGAAGAAAAGGTGAGCTAATTAAGGGATTGTGTTTATTTGTTTGTACTGCTTTCAGAAGAAATTTGACTAAAAGAATTTATTGGTTGTCGGAAAAGTCATGACGCTTTTTTTTGTTTATTTTAAGGCCATTTTATTCATATACAGCACAAACTTCAATCAATAATGTATTGCCCATTTTGATCGATGACCTTTCGCCATCTTTCAGGCAGCTTCATAATTCCTCGCTTGTAGAAGGATTTGTCTTTACCGGCAAAAAATTGAACAAGGTGCTGATGTACAGCTTCATCTGAAGTAAAGCGTATTTCTCGCAAGGAATTTTGAAGCGACCGAAACAAATGAAAATCAGATGGAGCAAGATCAGGCGAGTATGCTGGATGTGGTAACACATCCCATCCTAACTCCAATAACTTTTGACGAGTGAGCAAACTTGTGTGCGGTCTCGCGTTGTCATGGTGGAACACAACTCCTTTGCGATTAATGAGCTCCGGACGTTTTTGCATGATGGATTGTTGCAAACTGTCCAATTGCCGACAATACACAGTTGTATCGATGGTTTGGTTCTTTGGCAGGAGTTCGAAAAACACGATCCCTTTAAAATCCCACCAAACAGAGAGCATCACCTTTTCCTGATGACTCTCTGCTTTCGCGATCGTGTTACGCGTATCTACACTTCGGGACCAAGACCGTTTGCGAACCACATTGTTGTAAACAATCCACTTTTCATCTCCCGTTATCAAGCGCTTTAAGAAAGGATCGTTTTCCTCACGTTTAAGGAGCATATCGCAGATGTCTACACGCGCCGTCAAATGAACCTCTCTCAGTTCGTGTGGTACCCAACGATCGAGTTTGCTTACGTATCCCAGTTTCTTCAAATGGTCGTGAACGGTTGAATGATGGTTTTTTAAGGTTTCTGCAATTTCCCGTGTGGTGTAATGTGGGTTTGCTCCTACCAATGCCTTTAATTCGTCACTATCCAACTCAGTAGGCCGCCCTGATCGAGGTGCGTCATGGATATCAAAATCTCCATCTCGGAATTTTTTAAACCATCTCTGGCATTGCCGTTCTTGTAGTGCATGTTCTCCATAAACCTTTCTCAACTTTTCACACGCTTGTCTTGCGTTCTTGCCTTTGCGGAAGTAATACAGCAAAATGTGACGAAAATGCACAGTTTGGTCGTCCATCTTCAACGTCCTCTAAAATCGACGAGACTCAAATAAATCACTTAATTTTTTGGTGCAAATGAAGCTTGAAGTGTCAACTGTCAAACTACACAATCAACAGACAAATGTCATTGACTCACGTACTTCCAACCATGCAATTGCATACTTTGTTGCATATACGTCATGACTTTTCCGACAACCAATACTTAAAAAGTAAATGATTTTCTTCACTACGCCCATGGTTTGCTTATCATTTTGTTGTTGAAAATAGCTATTGGAGCGTTTTTTGTGGCAAAAAAGTTATTTCTTGAAGAAAGATAAGGAAATATCTCGTACTTATTTTAAAAAGGAATTTAGCACATAGTTTGCGATTGATTTGACCAAACTTTGTTGCTAAAATACCTTGTAACGCTTTATTACATAAATTAACCATGGTATATTCTACAGCAGAAAGAGTTGAAATTATCGAAATATTTTTCGGAAATAATCAGTGCGCTAATAGAACAGTAGAACTATTTAATGAGCGGCATGAGAACAGTAACGTGCATCGAAAATATGTTATAGAACTTGAAGCTAAATTTCGGGAAACAGGGTCAGTAGCCAATAAAAAACGCAACAATGAAAATCCCTTCAGGAACGAAGCAATAGAAGTGGGGGTTTTAGGGCAAGCTTATGTAGATCCTACGTTAAGTACCCGCAAATTGAAGACTGTGTGTGGTGTTAGTCGACGTACTGTCCAACGGATTCTAAAGGCCCATAGTTTTCATCCGTATAAAATTCACCTGGTACAAGAACTTAATGAAGACGATTTTGATCGGCAATTACAATGTTGTGAAGATATGAGTGAACGAATTATAAACGATGAACATTTTCTATTCAACACTTGCTTTTCCGACGAATGTTCCTTTTTCTTGAATGGCGTAGTAAATCGTCATAACTCCCGATATTGGTCCGATTCTAATCCCAGAATTTATCATGAGGTTCATACACAGCAGCCACAAAAATTAAACGTTTGGGCTGGTATGTTTGGCGATCATTTAGTTGGTCCTTTTTTCTTACCTGGAAATTTGACCGGTGAAATGTATTTGGAATTACTGGAAGACGCCATAGATCCTGCATTAACAGCCATAATTGAAAATCAGAATGATCGGCGGTACATTGCGAATAGGTTGATGTTCCAACAGGATGGTGCCCCACCACATTACGCATTACGTGTTCGACAATATTTAGATCAGACGTTTCCAGATCGATGGATTGGTAGAAGAGGTGCCATTGAATGGCCCCCAAGATCTCCAGATTTATCACCTTTGGATTTCTTTATGTGGGGTCATTGAAAAAGCAAAATCTATGCTACTCAGCCAACATCATTAGAAGACCTGCGACAAAGAATTGTGAATGAGTGCCTTCAAATTACTCCTCAAATATTGCAAAATGTGCAGCAACGTTTTGAGCAAAATCTTTATTATTGCATGGAGAGTCATGGTGGCCATTTTCAACATTTACTTGCCTAACGGGTCAGTTCATTCTTCATTTTTAAATTACTTTGCTGCCAAATGTATTGATCTCCACTAATGATGATGTATTAGTTTTATTTAAGCTTTAAATCAATAAATCTTCAAAACTACTGAACTGAAGTACATTAATATCATTATAAAGGGAATTGAAAGACCTTTAAAGTAAGGTATCACTCGACCCCCCTTTCCATTTAAGATTTTGGGGATGGTGTCACCCCCGCTTAGGGGGCTGCACGTCCTAACGTGTTTTATTGCCAAACTTGTGTCCCTCTCGAAAACAAAATCGACGGGTCTGAGCGTTTTTCACAAAAAACTGAGCTGCCAGTAAATGCGTCTGTTTCGTTTTCGATGCGCCACCCTGTGCGTCATCGCATAAACGCCTAGAAATGCATCAATATGATATGTTACGCATTGTAATTCATAAAAGTAGATGTTACCGAATATCTGTCACAAATCCTGTGTTTATCAGTGTAATCGGAATCGAATCCACCGGAATCACGGGAATCGACTCTTTCGGGGCTATCGGAATCGATTCCTGCGATTGCTACTGCGGTATCGTTCCTTTGCTACCCGTTCAGGGTTTAGGAGTTTCTTACAAAAACATCATTGACTTATATTTTCAGGCTTCGGTGAATACATGATAGCCACAAAATTTGATCCTCACGACAACTGGCTCCCGCCATGTTTCTACGTTCCTAAGCAATTGGAGGAAGCCCTAATAGACGCTCAGTTTCCAGCTAACTGCTGGACGCTGGCAGACATGGCTGCTACGCGTAACATGACCATTGACGAAATTTGCACTATGGTGCGGAAACGAGCCGAAGGATATTCTTTGCCGAATATCATTCCTTACAATCTAGTCACCCAGCACAGTATTCCTGACAAAAGTATTGCTGATTGCGTTGAAGCAGTGATTGGTGCTTACTTGATCGAATGTGGGCCCAGGGGAGCCTTGCTCTTCATGGCATGGTTGGGAATTAGGGTCCTACCAAGGTGAGTTTCATGAAATTTTCGTAAGTGCGCATAAAAACCAGGTACAAGCACAAATTCAAGTAAGAAAGGAAGTTTGTTGTTTCAATTACAGCATCATCCATATGCCCGAACTGACAGCTATTTGTTGGAACTGTAAAACTATCCGAGTTCGCATCGAAAGCCTAGTTACCACTGTGACCACTAGATGCCATCGATTCTGGCAGATATTGTATATGCCATTGATCAAAATTGTCATGAAATTATCTTTGTACTGTGTGCTGATGAAAAACAAATATTTTCGAAAGCTTGACATTGTACGGAGGACAAACTTTCTTTTTGACTTGAATGAAGGTCTTTGTACTTGTCATTCAAGATTACCCTCGTCCTCGTCCTCTTTAAAAAATACAGGGCCTTCTGAAAGTTGAGACTTTATTTGAGAAATAATTATGCTTAACGTAACAAAGCTAATGTGAGGTGAAATAGCAGTGAAAAAACACTCGTCAGGCGGGTTGATTGTACTTTCCTAGCAATTTTGTTACCAATTAGATTATGTATGTATATTGTGTATTTGATAAACAATGCCACACAGGATCCAAAAGTCTCAGGAAAACATTCTAAGAACAGTCGCGAATCATCACCAGCATCATCGATGAGTGCGCAATTTTCGTTTTTTGTTCAAATCCGATTTGTAAACTAACCGCTCGGCTTACGTCATCTACGAGCCCCTTCCCACTTCAGTTGGCCCACTTCAAGATTTGTGCCAAAGTATGCCTTTATAAACTAAACATGACGAAACTATTCACTTCAAAAACAATTTATTTTCTCAAAAACATTTTAGATACACTCTAGTCGTAAAAAATACATATTTGAAATCACTTAGACCTGTAACTAATAGAACATCTGAACAAATAAACAATGTGCGAATAAATGCGCGAAGTTAACAAAGCAACAATTGAAAGATTTCCATTGGGTAACATCAACTTTATTTTTTATTACGGCTGAAATACTTTGGGGCATAGTGTTAACCAAGTTTTGTCAAAAATTTGGTGTAAAACAATCCCATATTTGTTGAAGCTTTTATCTCAGTTCGGTGATTGTACGAGCAGGATGTTGTCGTAGAACCTTTTTCATCTCGTGCCACAAAGTTTCAATAGGTGACAGATCTGGACTGCTAGAAACCCATTTCAAAAGTGGTACATTATTTTCTTCCTTCCATTTTATAGACTTTCTTACATCACTGGTAAAAGCGATTCTTCTAAAATTGGAAAATATTTGTTTGTATCCACATTTCCATCAATAAAATGAAGTTTTTCTACTCCTTTTGATGACATACTGCCCCAGACCATAATGGATTCTGGAAATTTCACTTTTCTCTTCAGACAGTCAACATGGAATGCTTCATTTTTTTTGCGAATAACTCTACTGCGACTGCCACCAACACAAACTTCGAATCGGGCCTCATCACTCCATTGTATTGCACACCATTGTTGAGGTGTCCATTGTCTATGTTTTTTAGCCCATCTAAGCCGATTTTTCTTTTGCAGTGGAGTTAATAGTGGCTTTTCTTTGGCCTATAAACAAGTTGTGCAACCTTAGGGTTTTTACTTCACTTTTTTTTTATAAGAAAACTTACCTTGCAAGTGCTAAATCCCAGTTTGTGGGTCTCTCTATGAGTTGTGGACCTCGAAATTCTCCTTCCAACAGCGTCACTCCACAGAGCGCTTAATTGTAAATAATTGGCACGCCTGTTTTTCACGATTATTCTTCTTAATGCTCTTCGGTCGGCATTTGTGATATTACTTTTTTTCACATATCGTGGCTTAATATTAACTGAACCAGTTACGTTATATCTTCTAACAATATTTCTCACACTATACCGCGATAAGTCTAACAAAGTTGCAATTTCTGAGCTTGATTTCCCAGAATTAAAAAAATTCATTATCAGTAACCGAATTTTCTCACTAATAACCTTTCCTCTACCCATTTTGAAAACCTTAACTACCCAAAACTATTTTAAACGTATTCTGACAGCTGTGATTGATAAAAACAATTGTCATGGCTTTTATTATCACAACCACCTATGCGTTATAGACTTGCATTGAAATGAAAATAGGTTGATATGCAGTAATTGCAACATGTGTTATTTTTATGCTGCAAACCCTGCTACATTTTTATTATTTCTGTTTGATAAGAAAAAAACTAAGATTTCAATAGTTGGGCCAACTGAAGTGGGAAGGGGCTCGTAGAAGACACTCGCGCCCCGCATACCTTTTCACTTAGTATTGAAACTGCCGCATGTAGGTTCGGATTTTATATAGCATATATCATATTTTTAGTTATGTTAAAGGTCTGGTCTATATTGTATGTATTTTTACTTCCCACGCCTACAGGCAAGGAAATATTGTAATAGCGACAAATCTTGTACATGAGATATGTTTTTTAGATGCTATATGACATGTAAATCCCGAAAATCCATGTCCGTTTTTCCGCCTGTCTGCTAATTGACCCGTCAGTAACTTTGAAAGTAAATTTTTGAGGAGTTTTTAATCAAGGTAACTTGTATACCAAGGACAAAGAAGCTTTGTAGTTTTAGAAAATCGGTCCCGTGGCAGCGGAGTTCACATGCAAAAAAGAGGACAAAATAAAAATCTTTTGTTGACTCTCCTGATTATTTTCGGATTTTTTTTTTGTAGGGGTTAAATATTGTGGGTTAGGGGTTGTAGGGCGTGGGGAGGGCGTCTTAATTTTTTGGTGTTAGTGCAGCGTTATTAGTTTCTTCATGAGAAAATCGTACAAGCGAAATATAATATACAGTGGCGAGTGCCTAAGTTATACTTTACATAATGACTAATGATACTAATGACAGCGTTGCGTGGGAATTGCAGAGTCGGCCTGCTTGAAGCCATTTTTACAAGAACTGTCAGCTGTGCAAAGGAAGGTCTCAACTATAAAACTTCTGTCACTTGATTAAAGTGCAATTGAAGGATTTGTCATTAGCACCAGCGCTTTTTTTAGGTATGAAGACGGATCATATGGTGAGATACCACTTCCAAAATCACCACTACTCAGGCACGTTCCTAACCCTGAAGAGGAGTTGGAAAGGCTACTAGACGGATATGACGTTTTCGAACGTCACATAGGCTACAAATTCAAGGACAGAGCGTACCTGCTCCAAGCTCTCACTCATGCTTCTTATTCTCCAAACAAGCTTACCGACTGTTATCAGAGGTTGGAGTTTTTGGGAGATGCCGTACTTGACTATCTGATAACTAGACATCTTTATGAAGATCCTAGGATGCATTCGCCAGGTATGTTATTTTTTAAAACTTGATTGATAGTGCTTTAAAGATTGTAATTTGATCTGATTGCTTTTCCATAGGTAAAAGACCCCTTATGGGGAATGAATGTCTCTTGGGTACTCGTTTTTGAAAAATAAGTATTAGTACAAAAATGTCCGGGGGCGTTACCTCCGAGAGTACAAGGCCTGACAACAGACGCGTGACGTCACCACGAGTAGGCCGGTCGGCCGGCCGACAGCACGGCGTGCCGTACATCAGCGCTAGTGAATAATATGTTATTATTGCAGCATATTTAATATACTCTACCTGATGTAAATAACGGATAATTCAGAAAAGTGTTTTTGGTATATGAAGGCAACTTGGTGGAAAATATTAAAGTAGTTAACTATTTTCACCCTGATTTTCACTGATTTTTCATGCAACATTACGTGCTCATTAGAGTAATAGGTTGATGTTATAAAAGCTTGCTAAAAATGATAAATTCTTCAATGAATAACCCCATGTTAGTCACAACCGATCAACAAAATTTCACAGGAATGTGTGGACAATTTACTACTATTATTATAGGCATAATATAATGGTAGTACAAAATTATATAAAAAATGTAGTGCTTGTTGATTCCTGCAAGAACCAACGAGGAGTTCTGAGGTAAGCTCTTGCCAGGAAAGGAATAAGAAAGATGAGGAGGAAAAAGTGTAGGATAAATGATAAGAAAAACATAAAATCGAAGTAAAATAAACAACAGAAAAACATAACAAAGATTAACGAAAACCTAATAAAACCTCTTAGAACAAACAAATAACAGCACAAGATAATAACAAAAGTTAGAAAACAAAACAAGTATCAAAAATAACAAATATCTTGAGAGCTAAATGAAAATTTTGTCTTTCAAGGTTGGTAGGATATAAAGCTTTTAGGGTCAAACCATAATCATGTTTCAATATTTTATGGCTTTCCATTTGGTACAATGTTTTCAGAGATTTAAATGAAGCAACATTTATCTCATGTGTTTCAAAATCTGGGTATGTTAAAATTTGGTCTTGTTTTGAATTCAGCCAATTATTGCGGATACATTTTAGAAGGTGCACTGTATCAAAAAGGAAGGCTTTATTATCTGGAGAAAAATGTGCCATCGCTTCACTGTTCAGTGCATTATTATCACTTATAACACAAAAAATTTTGTAACCCACTTCTTCTAATCCAATTATAAGTTTTTTGTAATATTGTATAATAGATTATGATCAATGTTAGAAACAGGACAGAATTGAACAACTTCTTTGAAATTAGAATAGAAGCTTGAAATCATAAACACATAGGATGTTGTAGCTGAGCTCCTGATCAGGTTTTACAAATCTGAAGAGGTTCTTTGCATAGCCTCAACAGTTATATCTCTCATCGGGAACTGGATCGACCATCAATGTATTACAAATTGACTTCAGAGTATTTTGGTGTGGTAAAATAAGTGCTCCATGGCTCCTAATAAATCTATATGAATGTGGACTGATTGTATACAACATAGAGCAAAACACTGTCGTTTCTGATGAGTAACTGTGTCTGTTCTTCTGACTAATAACAAGCTTTAGTTGCTCACAAATAAATTGAATCACAGTGTGATCTCTTCATCGGTGAATAGTTCTGTGCTATTTAAAATATTGTAAGCATGTTTGATAGTGGCTCTGAACTGGTCTTTACCTGTATATTCTCTCGAAGCATCTACATGCTCAGAAAGCACAATCAGAACATCATCTAAGTGGTGTATATTAGATAATAAAAATCGAGTTTTAATATTGCCTGAGTTGAGTGACAATTCTTGGTAGTACACATACGTTTTTACATTGAGATCTTTATCAACAATTACAGATTGAGTTATGATGGGTACTGGTTTATATTCTAACTTAAACAAAGTAACTTTATCCTGAACAATTTTATGCCACCCATATGGACATTCCCATGAACTGAAAACTGTGAGAAAGTAAATAATTTTGAAAACTTGTTGATTTTTGATACTAGGAATAATCATCAATGCTACTTGGCAGTGTTTTAAGTAGTTGTACTTGTTCCTTGTCCCTCAATTTCTCGTCTCGGCTTCTTGTGCTTGATATGTCCTTTGAAAGGTATTTTGGACAATTTGCAAAGATACTTGGAATTACATCTGCCTTTAATTTTTAATACTTAAGGGGTACAGTAATGGTCCTACCTGTCTTTTCGTCATGGAAGGTGAATTCCTAAATGATGTTCGGTGTTTTTTGTAACCACTAAATCGCTACGAGAGATTGCATTGAGCCATCTTTTACGACAGTTTTTATTCAACGGAAACGAAAATACGTGTACCTTCGGACCCTTCCCGTAATTACCGGCACATTTAGGAACGCAGCACTTGTAAGGCATTTTGAAAACTTAGCTAAACAATAGCGAGACACATATATAAGTTTAAAACTTCAATAATTTTCAGTATACCTAGCATAGAAAGATACATAATAGAGGCTCAGGATTTGAGGTTAGATGGCTGTTGGATGTTAGCGGTGTTACCAAGGTTGCCACATATTCGAATTTTGAATGGAATATTGGACTTCACAAGTGACAGATTGAACGTAATATCGAAAATGTATTCCTGACATACTGAGTCAGATCAGAAAGAATAATCACATCATCACTGAAGCTGCGCAGGCCCCGAGTACATCTTGCAAATTCGCCCACAGGGAGGTACAACTAATTAGTAGAGATTTCGATACTGCTATATCAAATGTAGATATGACAACAGCGCAGAGAAATGGTGGCGCGGCTCTCTTGCCAGCCAGCATCGCGAAACTCCATAAGAATATGCATAGGCCTACTTTGCGTGACGTCACGGGCTTTTCGCAGCTCAGTTGTTTGGCCTTGTACTCTCGGAGGTAACGCGGGGGGCCCGAAGTTTTTCCATAAATATTTTAAGGGCACGGTACGGAGACATCTCTAATGTGTGAAATATGTGTAATAGGTGCATAGAATTACCAAGGTTGGGAGTGTACACATGTACAAACATCAAACAACTGAGTTATACCCCCTCCAAGCCCACTGCAACTCCCACTACCAAGTTTTTTACACGTCAGAAAAACGAAGTTTCAGCGATGGAAATGAGTTACATGTTTTCGTGATGTATATGTCATATAGCATCAAAAAAACCTACTATCTCATTTTCGAAAATTTTCGCTATTGCAATACTTCCGAGCTTGTGGGGAGTAAAATAAAACATAAGGCTTCGTTTGCAAGGGCGTGGAAATGTTGTTGCGCAAGAGATAACGTTGGCATGTCTTTTCCAGGCGCTCTCACCGACTTGAGATCAGCATTGGTCAACAACACCATTTTCGCATCTTTGGCAGTACGAAACGGCTTCCACAAGTACTTCCGGCACCTATCTCCTGGATTGAACGAGGTTGTGGAGAGATTCATTAGACTCCAAGAAGAAAGCGGGCACTCTTTAGTCGACGAACTGTACTTGGTGGTAGAGACCGAATGTGAAGAGGTAGAAGACGTGGAGGTCCCAAAAGCATTGGGAGATGTATTCGAATCTGTAGCAGGTGCTATATTCTTAGACTCAGGGATGTCTTTGGACGCAGTTTGGAAGGTGTACTATAAAATGATGAAAGCGGAAATAGAGCAATTTAGCAACAGAGTTCCAAAGTCTCCCATCAGGGAGTTACTCGAGTTGGAACCTGAGACAGCGAAGTTTGGTAAGCCAGAGAAGCTGGCCGACGGCAGAAGAGTCAGAGTGACAGTTGAGGTGTTCGGTAAAGGATTATTCAAGGGCATTGGTAGAAACTACCGAATTGCCAAATGCACTGCTGCCAAATGTGCTCTAAAGCACCTGAAACGACGAGGTCTGATCAGAAAATTGGATAACTGATATAGGTCGAGGAACTCAAAGATTCTTAAAAAAAGAGATTAGCCAATTGTTTATTCTTGAGAAGAGTCATTTTCTATTCAAGTATTTTTGAAACGTGCATTAAAACCTCCGAGTTTTACCTTCTAAAACTCTATTTTGTTTTTGAGCTGGCATGTTTTGTGACACAATGTCTTTTTGTTTTTGATTATTTCGATACCTGTTAAACAGGGTTATCAACACGTTGTTTTTCGATTCTAGCTGGGATGCATTTGTTTTTTTTATAATTAGCACTTCAGTATCATTCTGGAGGCTTTTTCTCTTAATAATTATATTTTTAGATAACTATGCTTTTTTATTTTGAATTGAATAACCCTTGCTTTTGTTATATAATAATATAACCTAGAGAATGATGCGACCCAACATCTAATACTCTACGCTTTTCCATTTTTGCAAAGGAGGTGTGTAAATATCGTTTTTTCGCACATCAGATCCGTAAAAATTAAAAGTCTCGATTTGAGCAAATTTATTATACTTATATTCAAGTATCTTCATTTGCATGTACAATATATCGACAACAAATGAAGTAGCAAGTAACAAGTACCAAGAAAAAACCTTAAAATTTGGCAAGTTTATTGGGTTTTATCCATTTTGATGATTTTTTGATCTTTTACGTCTTGTGTACCACAACAAGTGAGTACTAGTGTTTAAGTTTATTTATTTTAATTTTAAAGAAATGTATATTATGCACAAAACGCTTGATAAAAGATAAAAAACGCCAAACATTGTATAAATAAAAAAACGTGCCAAGTTTTAAAGATTTTTCTTGATACATGGGCGAAAAAGTGCGATCCTTTACCCACTGTTCTTTCTCATTTTCTGGAAATTATTGAAACTTGGGATTAGTTTTCAACAGTTAGAAAATGATACTCATGATTAAATTTAAAATCAAGCCTGTGATGCTCTTAACAAATTCCTTGGTACGTGAAAGAGGTAATGAACTGTTTTCATTTAGGAGGAGCATTTCAAATTTTTGAGAGCGACTCATTCACATACACAACATGTGCTTGTTGAATAATGTTAGCTTGGTACTTTATAGGGTGGCTTTAAAGTGGTGCAATCTGATTGTCCCCATAAAAAATGTGCCATAGTTTTAGTGTAAGTGCATATTTTTAACTGCTGGTAAAATAATCGGGTGCGACAAGCGATCTCTAAATGTCTAGTCTTTGAATAATTCGTTTTATTTGTATTCAAAAAATTTTATTTTGCGAGTTATCATATTGAACGTTCTACTATGTGCTCGATGTTTTTGTACATGTACATGGATTGATGAAAATCGGCAAAATAAATGTAATATCTGAAACATGTCGACAACCCCCATGTTTGTCTGGCCAATAAAATCATATGTATTGACGCAATTTTTTATTTACTGTAAACTTTTCAATCATAAAGGTGATCTTCAGTTTCATGACAATTTTTATTATTTATCTGTCTTCCAAGTGTCGGTTCGTTTGTTTGTTCTTTTCATTATGACATTCCTATACAGTGTGTTTCTACAATAGTCTGGAAGTCCCGTAACATGCTGAGACTTTCGAAATATTGTAGTAACACACTATATAGGAATGTGATAATGAAAAGAAAAAAGGGAGACAAATAAAATATATCGTCATTGTACTGAGAAAGACCTTTGTGATTGAAATGTGTATAGGAAAGACGATTTTGTTAATACATGTCCAAACATGGGAGATTACCGGCAAAATAATGCTAAATGTATTTCAATATAAGCATTATTTCGTTTTCTCACCTAGTCTTTCTCCGTTATGCAGCTATTATGATTCTGTATCTGTAAAAACAGATTTTTTAACATTCTGACCGATTTCAGTACAAGCCACCCTATTTATTCTATATTGTTTGTGATTAAATCATTTCAGCTTACCAAAAATGTGACACCTTGTGATTAACAACAATGCAATTTGTTCTTTCTTTCAGTAATAGTTTCATATGTTTTAAGTTATCTGAATACAATTTTCAGAGTTTTAATGATATGTGATATCATTTTCAAGTGTTCAGATCTAATACATGTTCGGAATATGGTTCCGATGAGATTTGTTCAATTTGAAGATGTTTTTTCATTTTTTATTTAGCATAGTTTCTACTAATATACCAGTTTTGAATGTGTTGTTTCTGTTTTTATTAATAATGAAGCATCATTATATAAACCATGTTCTGAACTGTGTAAGACTTCTATTCATAGTCTCGCACAAATGTTGTTGTCTGTCGTATGAACGTCAATAAATTACTTTTCGAAATTAGTTTTGCAATTTTATTGAATTTACCTTTTAGTCCATGTGTCGTCGATTTCAAGGATTCCCTGCACTATGCGAGAAATTGCTCAGTGTATAAAAGAAATCAAGACCACTCTCTATTTCTTTTATACATACGGGACTTCTCCCTTCAATTGGAAAAAACAGTGTTTTATTATATAAATATATGTAAAACTATTTGATCTATACTAAGTATTTTAATAAAATTTTGTATAAGTACTTAATGAAGCATAATAAGTAAATGATAAAAAGTTCAAAATGATTGCACTGCTTTAAAGCCCTTTGACCTTTAATAATGTGTGGATGCACCCTGATGTGCTAGGCATTCTCCAACGCGCCTAGGCATGCTTCTGATCAGGCGGTCAATGTCCTCCTGTGGTATCTCATTCCAGGCAACCACCTCTCGAAGTGCTTCTAGAGTCTGAGGAGGACGTTGCAAATTCAGCAATCTCCTACCCATCATATCCCACACGTGCTCAATTGGGGATAAGTCGGGAGATCTTGGTGGCCATGGTAACAATGTGACATCATTATGTTGAAAGAAGTCTATTGTGACTCTTGCAACATGTGGTCGGGCATTATCTTGTTGGAAAGTTGGATCTGCCAGGGTGTCAAGATAGGGTAAAAGATGGGGTTCTAGAACTTCGTGGATATAACGCTGCGCGTTCATGTTACCTCTGATGAAGATTAAAGGTGACCTGGAACCATAAGCTATAGCACACCAAACCATAACTCCAACAGTGTGATGAACATGTCTTTCAACAAAAAACTGTGGATTCCTCCTTTCACCACGTCGCCTTCTAACCCTTACACCGACGTAATCGCCTTGAGTGGTGCAGACAACGGTCACTCTGGGATCAGGAATGGAACAGTATTGTCTTTAGTGACGAGTCTCGATTTTGTTTAGGCATGCACGATGGTCGTGCCAGGGTTAGAAGGCGACGTGGTGAAAGGAGGAATCCGCAGTTTTTTGTTGAAAGACATGTTCATCACACAGTTGGAGTTATGGTATGGGGTGCTATAGCTTATGGTTCCAGGTCACCTTTAATCATCATCAAAGGTAACATGAACGCGCAGCGTTATATCCACGAAGTTCTAGAACCCCATCTTTTACCCTATCTTGACACCCTGGCAGATCCAACTTTCCAACAAGATAATGCCCGACCACATGTTGCAAGAGTCACAATAGACTTCTTTCAACATAGTGATGTCACATTGTTACCATGGCCACCAAGATCTCCCGACTTTTCCCCAATTGAGCACGTGTGGGATATGATGGGTGGGAGATTGCTCAATTTGCAACGTCCTCCTCAGACTCTAGAACCACTTCGAGAGGAGTTGGTGCTTGCCTGGAATGAGATACCACAGGAAGACATTGACCACCTGATCAGAAGCATGCCTAGGCGCGTTGGAGAATGCGTAGCACATCAGGGTGCATCCACACATTATCAAAGGTCAAAGTGCTTTAAAGCAGTGCAATCATTTTGAAATTTTTATCATTTACTTATTATGCTTCATTAAGTACTTATACAAAATTTTATTAAAATAAAACCATTTAAACTGGGTGTTCGGATTTATATGTCACTTAGTATACAATTACATGATCATTAATAGGAGAACTATGATTTTCAGTTTATCTAATATTTATTATGGCAATATCTTTTTTTAGTGACTGCATTCGCACTTGGTACTATTAAAAAAGCTCAACTGCCACTGCTAAGATTAATTGTATCAGGTGAAGAAAAATAAAGTCGTTCCACAATTCTGGGTTCGAAATCGAAAATCTATAACCCGCCAGCTTACTACAGTTATTAACATAAAAAAGTAGCTTTGAAGTAATGGTTTATACCAGCGCCATTTTTTAAGTAAGAACCGTTTTATAATCGAGTCAGAGAATTTTTATTTATGAATGTAAATCACAAACACTTTTTCATTCCATAAACATTCAAATACAAGTCAACTCGTGGCACCAGTATTTTAGGCGCCCGAAATGTGGCCAAGGTACCAGAAAGGACTGTTGCAATTATAGTGCGCGACCTTGGAAAAACCATAGATAAGGAAGAGGCGCGTCAAGCTGTCGAACAGGCCTTGCAGCAGCAGAATGTTGCAGGTCTACAAGTCTTTGAGCCAAGAGCACCTGATAGTAAGAAGTGTCCGTGCACTGTCCTGATGGTATACTTTATCTGAAGTCACTTGAAACACTGTGAAATACCGGGTGCGTTTTATATATCTATATTTAACACGCTCTGTTGCTGCAAAAATCGCCAAATTTCGCAGCAAATATCCCCCGTATAAGAGATAAAAGGCAGTTTCACCGGTCCACGTGGAGTAAAGCACGCCTATGCGTGGACATAGCCAATGAGAAAGCGTGTATTTCAGAGCTCCGAACAAGTGCAGGTGGCTACTGAAAATTGAAACAGTTTAGCCAGTGCCGTGTAGCGGTGAATAAACGTATTTTCTTTAGTCTGTCCGTGTTTTTTCATAGATTTTATTAGTTTGTGTGTTTTTGACTTTTGAATACTCAGTTTACTTGTTGATTTAATTGTTGTGTTGATTGTTCTTGTGTGTCCTAAATATGGCTCTTTGGAGACCTTGGGAAAATGCTCCAAGCCACGAGGAGATGGTTGATGAACCTGTGTAGGCAGAATTCTTTCATAAAGATTTAGAGGAACAGACCCAAAGAGTAATCCTAAATATGTATGATTGTCTGAAAAACGAAAATCCAGATTCCTCGCAAAATCAACTTTTAAACAGAATTTGTATCCTGACAAAAATCAGTCGGTCTACCATTTATCGGGTTATAAAAAGGGGAGATGTAGTCAACCATTCCTTCCACAGAAAGCTCATAGGGCAAAAATTAAAAAGAATAGACGTGGGTTTTCAGGAAGATATTCGTCGTATAATATACGGATTTTATAAAGAAAATTTGGTGCCCACGTTGGAAATGATACGGGATAAATTAAAAGATTATCCTGAAGATTTTTATATTTACAAATGCTCAGACTCACTGCACTGTATTGTAAAACTGTGTGGTTTTCAATACAAAAAATTAGGTAAAAGAATGGTGATTATGGAGTCGTCTCGAATCGTTGAATTGCGCCAAGAATTTTTGCACAAAGTTAAAATCTATAGAGAGCAGAAAATAAATCTGATTTACCTGGATGAAACGTGGTATGATACCCATGATGTTGTGCAGTACGGCTGGGTTGACGACAGCAACAAGTGCATTTTAAATGCACCATGCAACCGTGGAAAACGAATCATTATTCTCCATGCTGGCAGTGAAAATGGATTTATACCTAATGCCTTGCTGTTATCTGCCAAAAATATCAAAGAATCATGTGCCGACTATCATGAGGACATGACCTCCGACTTAATTGAAAAGTGGATAGAGCAGCAGTTAATACCAAACATTTCCCCAAATTCAGTGATTATTATGGACAATGCGCCATACCATTCCCGACAGAAAAACAAAATTCCGAATACAGGCACAAAAAAACAAGACATTATTGGTTTTATGAAGGATAAGGGAATGGAAATACCACAAAAATCAACCAAAGCCATATTATTGGATCTTATTAAAAGACAAAAATTTGAAAAAGAGTATGTTGTTGACAATCTGCTTCAGCAAAATGGCCATGAAGTATTACGTCTACCTCCCTATTACTGCATTTTTAACCCGATTGAGTTGGTCTGGGCTGCTTTAAAAAAAAAGTAAGAAAACATTATCAGACCCCTCAATTAAGTGAATCGCTATTGGCCACAATAAGAGATGCAGTATCTCATATTGCTGCCACAGATCTATGGAAGCAGTGTTCTAGGCATATTATTGAAAAATAAAATGAATATTGTGTTTTGCCTCCTGTAAATCCCGTTGTAATTCCTCTACAAGATGACTCTAGCGACAGCTCCGAAGGCGAGGATGATATATAAATACCTATAATGTAAGTCTTTATATACCTTTTTATATACCTACCTGCTATGTAAATATTTGCCTATGTCAAACGTTGGAATTCTGTAATTTTTCCATTTCTTAACTTTCAGTCAACATAAATTAAACTCCCAATATAAGTATTTTTTATCCCAAATCAAAAAAATAAGAAGATAGTAAAATCCATTTATGTATTGTGATATAAAAACATTATTATTATCGTTCTAAATAAATGACCACACGCCTATGATACGTCATGAAATTACAAAGGACGCGCCGACCAAAGGTTTTTATGCTATTTCAAGTGACTTCAGATACACCATACTCCCTGAAGGGTTTGGACGTATGCTGCTAGAACGGCGGCGGACTAAAATTGGATGGAATTGGTGCAGAATAACTGAAAAGGTCTCTCCAGCGAGATGCTACAAGGGCCAGCTCTTTGGCCACGCTGCATACCAGTGTAAGGCAAAGGAAAATCAGAGACAGAAATGCGTCAAATGTGGAGACGACAAGTACGCTGCAAAAGACTGCACCAATGAGGTGAAATACTGCGTGTGCGGCGAGCAGGTACATTGCGTAAACAGTATGGCCTGCGCGAAATACAGGTGGCTAGTGAAACAGCTTCGTTTCGCAACTAAACATCAAACAGCTAACAAAGCTGTGACAAAACAGGCGACGCCTGTAACAATTACAAAGAAAACTGATGAGTCTGCTTTATCTCGATGTCAGGTTGATAACACTGTGGATGAGGGATTTCAGGTTGTCAGAAACAGAAAAGACAGGCGAACGGATAGAAGCAACACTCCCACAATACCAAAATAAAGGTAATACAAGCAAACTTAAACAGATGCAGATGGATCAGTTCGCAAAAGAAAATACAATTAACGTTGTTCTGGGGTCGGAGCCGAATATAAAGATATTAGAAATAGGTTCATGGAAATCGGAGGCATACGGAGTCGCAGCTGTTAGGATATATAATCGAACATCTGAAACATCTAAGGGAATGCATACAAAAAAGGGACGATTTGGATAGAGATGAAAAAAAATAGAGCTGTGC